CCTTTCTAGGTGAGCCACATCTTCCTTCAAAACCCAAAGGGGGCTAGGCCTCCATCACCTGCTGGGAAACGTCCAGGAAGAGCACAAACTTCACCAGGACCTACCAGCGTGGTGGGTCCAAACCCGGCCAAAAGGGGGGAAATATACAGAGACCAAAGGGCACAGGAAATTACAGGGAATTCACAGGAAAAGAGCTCATTTAGGGTGTTTTGGGGCCATGTCCTGTAGATGTTCCTGTAACCAAACCCTTTGAAGAGTCCTGTTAGGTGCTAAAGAGAGTGGTCGGGTCACCAAACTCAATGCACGGCAGATATGACCCCCAACGTTGACCCAGATCAAGAAGCTTTGCGATGTGAGCATTCGTGGCACCCTCATTTTAAGGTAGACCAACCATACGTACATGTGTACATGTATATATATATATATTATTGAACGATGTCTAGTTCTGACACACGGCCATGCACTAAGCCAGGAATCCGGGCAAAGCAACATGGCGATGCAGCTTTGGGGAGCGTCGGCAAAGCCGAATCACCAGCCGCGCGCAAACCCTCGCGCTGAAAACCTCAAGCCGCCGAACTGCAGGACTTGCAGATGAACTTGGAACCCCAAAGTATTAGGATTGATAGAAACTGGTTATCATGGGGGCTGGGTTAATAAGGCCTTATTTAGGGCTTTTTTTGGCTCCCTCCCCCCCCCCCTCCCTCCCCCCCAGCCCCCATGAAGCTGGTGGCTCCTTCGGCTCGCAGGGACTGCTGGAGATCATGATGACAGTAGCCTCTGATACCAAAGCGGCAGCCAAAGTGGCTGATTCGCATCCAACCATGACTACGTTGCTGCTTTCAACATGGCAGCGTAGAACCCATGCCCCAACCGTTGTCAAAATAGATGATCATGTGTCATTTGCTTGAGTGCCCCGGGAGAAAAAAAAAAAAAAGAGTCCAGTAGTGCTGGATTCCCTTAAAACCAACAGCGGCAAATAACAAAAAACACAGATAAGCAAATGGAAGTAATTCATGAAGCTGAGATAAGGGAAAACCCGTAGGAACTTTCATCATCGGGTTTTCGATGTGCACACCAAACGGTGAAGTCACGACATCATCTGCGCAGAACCATGATGAACAAAGGCCCTATAAGTTAATCTGCTTCCTGAACTGGCCCATGAGTCCTTGCTCAAGCCTGTCTTGGATTTCAGGCTGATTAAATGAAAGACAACTCCACCCGTCCAACCTCCCCTTGGGACTTTGTTTGCGTCCGCCGTTCGCGCGGGCCTTCCGCTTCAAAGACTCTCCCGCCGAACAGATGGACCCCGAATCCGACAGCTCCAAAAACAAAAATCCCTCGACGCCTTCCGACGGCTTCGGCCCACCTGGTCGCCAACCTTCTCCTCCCAGGCTTCCAGGTTGTCAAAGCTCCTGCGCGATCGCGCGATCAAGCCATCCATCAGCTCAGCTCCACGGCGAAAAAGGCGGCGCGCTTGCCGCTTTCACTCGCTCGCTCCGGTGTTTTTCTCTTTGGCCGTCCGGAAAAAAAATGGCGAAAAGCGAATGGGCGAAGAGCCTAGGAGTTCGAAGGAATGGAGACAACGAAATCGGATGCTACACACAGGTCCTTTGGTGCAAATCGGAAGTCCCTTGACCCCTTCTCATTTTTGAAGATAATGGGATCAACGAGGATTTCATGGTCCCTCACATTCGCAGTGAAACGTTAGAGGATAATATGTATACATCTATATATTCCTTCACAAACAAGACCCATATTTCAAAGGCTCTACATAGCCTAGCTGTCAAAGGAAGCAACACTTGTCAGACTGGCTAGTTGAGGAGCCCATGCTTTTCAAGAAGCCTGCGCGAGAAATACCATGTTTCCATCAGCGTGCAAACGAAATGCCTTGCATTTCCTTTAGTCCCCCTTAGCCAAGGGAATGCAAACTGAAAGCAACCCATTTGGGTGGCACTCTTGTTGGTCTAGGGAATCCAAAGGAATCCATTGGCTGCACTGTCTGAAGGTTCTTTTTGGTCTATCAGCTCTTTGGGTTTCTTCTTGAGCGAAAAGGAGCCATGTGTGTTGTATGTTTTGGGGGTGGTCCACATTTAGAGACACACCTTGGTTTTCTCTGGCCTAAGACCAAAGAAAACAACCCATTCTATGGGGTCCCCATACTAAATCCTTGAAACATATGCAGCTTCACGGTACAGCACGGAGGACCAGCGCTGTGGAAGCCACAGGCGAAGGAAAGCAAAAGCCCCGGGACTCGCTACCTGGCCATCTGGGACTCGGTACACTCAAAAACAGCATAGTCAGATTCTGTACTGGAATATGTTTTTTGTGTTTCGGGGGACTTAATTGGAAGGGGGAATCTGTTTTTGTTGTGTTTTGGGGGACTTAATTGGAAGGGGGAATCTGTTGAGGTACCCCACAAAAGTTGTGGTTGTGCTTTTGGTTTGCTCTTGAAGCATATGGGTGTGGCTCAAAATTAACCAGAAGTTACGCAGGTCTTGGTCCATGTTTCCACTTACCGATCGGGCAACCCATTTTGGAATTCCCGTTTTTTGAGCCACAGCCATATTTAGCCGACGTAACCAAAAAACGAAAGAGCTTCGGAGACCCCAGACTTTGTTCCGTTTCGCTCCTGGGGAAGCCGTCGATGAGGTACTTGCCGCCCTCCCAGCCTTGCTGCTTCATCGCCTAAGTGTTGGCTCTACCATGGCCATAAAGGTTGGTTGATGTGGGCCGTTGTTTAGCAATCCCAACTAGCAGAACCAACTTTTTTCACAGATACAAAGGGGACGGACTTTGTTTCATCTGCCCATGTAGATACTCAAGGGGAAACCCGAACGGAACTAAGCACCTGGAGTAGAATGAACACCGGATATCTCAACTGACGCTTGGCTGACCTGGAACCAATGTCAGTTGATGCCGACTCCCTCAAGCTGCGTGACCAGCATCCGCAAACCACACAGAAAGGCCCCATCCAAAAATGATCCACGCTTTTCAGCCCTCAAATGTGATACCTCCAAGCTGGGCCGTCGTTCTCCCAGAAGCAATGGGGTCCTTTTGTCTTCCCTTCCAACTATCCAGCTTTACAGATTCTTAACCTACTCTGAGACATGCCCATCTTGGAACCAAAAGTTAGACTCCAAAACCACCTCACTTGCGTTTGAGCCAATACAATGAACCTCCGTAAAGAAAAGAAAAAGAAAAAAAAACATATCCTGGTTGCATGACTCCAAAAGCCCCACCCCGCCCGCCCCCCGCCCCCCCCCAACGCGGACCCAGCATGATTTCAGGGTCCAAACCCATCCCTCGTCCTCTCCGACCCTTCCGTGAAGCGTTTCGCGTGTCGCTTGGCGCCTGGAGGATGAGCTCCACCGTGACATGCGCGGGCACCAGCTTGCCCTCCTGAAGCGGCGGCGTAAACCAGGGCGGACGGGCAAGCACTCCGGGGGGCGGGGGGTGGGGGTAGGAAGGGGGGTAGGAGGGGGGGGTAGGAGGGGGGGGGTAGGAGGGGTATGGATGTGTTTTTGAGCTTGAGATGTTAAACCCCTCAACTTGGTGAGCTTCTGGGGTTTAGGGTAGGAGTTAAGTTTCTCTTGATTTTCTTTTGGGGGGGAAGGGGCTGCACTCCACAGGCGGACCTAGCTGAAATCCTGAAGGCAGCTTATGCTTGGCGTATCCTGGGCTTATCTATGACGTGGAGGTCCATGAACTCCAAATGAACAAATGGCTGTGGGTCAAAAAAGGGTACCCAAAATGGAACCCTGGTAAATGGAAACAAAGACTAAAACCTGCGTAACCCTAGCTCGTTAATTTTGAGCCACACTCAAATGTCATCAACCTGATGCGGATGTTTTTGGGATATCTTCTGTTCACAAAGGTGAATGTTTTTTTTCAGGAGACGCCGGCCCATGAATTGACTTATACAGGCCTTGTTTATCCTGAGTTCCCAGTACAAGAGGAAAGCCAATGCCTAATGCCGGAAATCGGTACCTGCGTTTGGGTCTTGGAGGTTTCATGAATTGTAGACAAACCCTGGCCCTTTGACCATTTTGCTGGTTGAGGAAGGTGTGGGGCCAACCGGCAAGTGGGTGGATTTGAAGGGATATCAAAGGAAAACAAACGGAGGTCCCCCGGTTCCAAACCACTCCTTGATGTGGCTCTCGATCATCTCGCCCAGCTTGGACCCAGGTCTTTTGCGCTCCTCGGTGATGTTCTTTTTTATGCGAAAGCTGGACCTTGCTTGGTGGATGACTTTCTTTTGAATGTTGGCTCTTCCTGGTGACAACTCCTGGTACCAACTTTCTGGTGACAACCTCCTGGTACCAACTTCCTTGGGAACTTCCTGGTGGCTGGCGCCCTTTGGGATTTGTGGTGAAGCCACAGATGCTGAACATCCGAAAGCTCGAAAGGCCTGCAAGCAGCCAGTAGCAGTTCCTCAACTATGAGACTTTCCCACTTCCCACTTCCGCTAGAGTCAAGCAATGCCATAGTCGGCTTCGCTCACGGACGAAGCTCCGGACCATGCAAACAAAAATGGTATGGTCAGCACTCTCTGCGGACAACAGACTTGCTAGAATGTCCCGTCACTTGCGATGCATGAGGCAGCTCTTTGAAACAACAGCTTTATTTCTCCGAACCACGACAACCATTCAGCACCATATTACATGCGCAGAAGACTCCCGCTTTCAACGCCATACCCAAAAGACTGGCATCTTCCCACCGAACACCCCACCCCACCCCATCCCACCCGCTCCATCCACCCAACCCACCCCGCCCACCCCGCCTCCCGCAGCAAGTCGCCAGCACTCAAGTGCTTGTAGCCGCATGCCTCTCACGGTGAGGGAACCAACGTATTTCTGACGTGGTTCGATCGTGGGTCTTGGGAATGAACCCCTTGGTCATTGCCTTGGTCCCTGACACGCGAAACTTCGCCACAAAAAGCTTGCTCCGCTGGCAGAAAGTGGGCGGCAAGCGCCTACGTTTGCAGGCGGACTCTGGGAACACGCTGGTCTTTTGCCTTTTTCAACTTTCAGCTGCTCACTGTACAAACAAACAAAAAGGCATGCCTTAGGCATCATCGAAAGCAAATCTCAACAACTGATGTCCTAACATCGCCGTCTTGAAGTGCCTATCTTCCTCCTTTCCTCTCTGGTTCGTGCGTTTGGACTCCGCGAAATCCTGCTTCTCCTCTGGTCTTGTTCGCCTCTCCGACTTCTTCTTTCGGGCAATGGTTGAAGGGGCCGCTGCAGAAGCGACTCCGTGCTTATTGTTGTGCCTTGCACTGCGGCTCTGATGGGACTTGGAATACCCCCCAGCCTTGTCACGCAGCTGAAAGTCCTCCTCTTCTTCCAGATTATGTATCCTATGCTCCTCAGATTCATCCGAGTCGACTGAGACCCACTCGGCATCATTATAATAGTATTCGAAAAGCTGCGGGCTGTCTTCCAATCCCGAGCCATACTTGGCAAAGAACTTGGTCATCACTTCCTTGACCGACTTGTCCTTCTCATGTCCTTGAAGGTTGTTTATTACACGCACAACATTCAGTCCCCAAGGTTCCAAAGAGAGGAAGCTCTCCACCACTGCATGACGCACCTGCCACTTGCGGCTGCTCAGCCCCTTTTCAACCATCGACCCCAGCAAGTCACGGAGACTCCCCAGCTGGTCCCGGCGCTCTGCCGCCCTCAGCTCCGCAAGTTGGGCCTGGCTCAGGCTGTGCTGCCACTCACAAAACCTGCGCCGCAGGTAGTACACCATGGCGACGGACACTTGACATGTTGCAGCTTCAGCTGAGGTATCCGGATCATCCAAACCCTCCTGCCATCCAGCCCATTCTGCCCAGTGGCTGTCCAATCTTCTGGAAATGTCTTGGCAAGCTTGCGCGATGCCGGCATCGTGCTGTCCTTCCAGATTCAGGCCTTCGCCCAAGAGCAGGAGCTGGCAGATCAACTCCTCTGCCAAGCTGTCCTCTGGTTCAGCTTCGGCCTCGCAAGTAGGGATGCAACTGGTGAGGTATGCGGCAGCAGCCCGCCGTACCTCTTCCGAGGGATCGAACAAGCCTTGGCACAGCTGGGGCAGAATGATGCGCTCTCGTTGCGCCTTCATGTCAGGAGCCACTGGGCTGTCGTCCTCCAACAATCCGATGACAGACTTCGTTGCGGCCAAGCGGGTGCTGGATGAGTCGGATTCAAAGAACGACTTCACGGCCTTTACGGCCTTCCCCGTGATCCGGAGAGTCTGAGAGTACACGCTTGGCGCACATGCATATCTCAAGATGTCGGCAGCATACACTGCACCCTCTTCAAACCAAGAAAGGGACTCGGCAGCTGCCAAAGGAACTCCTCTCTCACCATCACGGAGGAGTCTGGCAATGGCAGCTATATGAGGGGCAGCAATTCGACCCATCCATGAGAGCGTGTTCAGTGCAGCAGCTTGCACTGAGCCATCCTCATGCGCCAAGCACGTGGCCACTGCAGCTGCAAGAGCATGTGTTGCAGTTGTAGAGGCGGCCAGCTGCAGTTTCTCCGCAATCAACTCCGGATCCTGTGGCCAGCTGTTTATCACCGTGATCTGGCTGCCATTCTCCAGCTGAAGCTCGGCCACAGACTCCTGACTGAAGATCTCCTTGCCTCCGCAAATCAGCCTTTGCACAAGTCTGGGGATCTTCAAAGCTCGCTCAATGGCTCCATGCAACTGATCAACCCGCCCAGAGGTCAAGGCCGCAATCGTGCAACATTGGCCTGCGGGTGTGGACACGCAAAGGGTTACGCGCCCAGCTAATGTGGAAGTCATATCGAGTCAAAGCGTGGTGGAGGAACTCTACCGCCGGTGCCTTGAGCCGTGTCTGGGTTACCCTCATTCGACAATGGGAAAGGGAATGTGTGCCATGCGATGAAGGAACCTCTCAATCCCCCAAACTCAGGTTGCAGTTGGAAAATTATGTGCTACTATAATTCACAACCGAACAACAACGTCCCCAAGCAAAGAACCTTGGTCAGGTGAGGTACGTTTCCCCCCAAGCTCGTAAGTTGCCCATGTGGGATCACGGGATTCTTCAGCCAGGATTCTTCAGGCCAGCTGCGTTACCCACTGGGACAGGTTTGGGTTTAGAGTTTAGGGTCTAGGATTTAGGGTTTAGGGTTTAATGTTGACCCAGGATTTATGAACCCGTCCCGTTATTAGGGGGGTGTTCCCTCCAACAGTGATGAATCCAACCACTAAAAGGGGACACCCCCTATGAATCAACCAGGGTTCTGCTTGATCCGGGGTTAGCATAGGCACAACCCGGCTGCAAGAGGCAGAGTGTGAGTAGGTGGCCTCCAGAGGGCTGACAGCATCGTCCCATTTTCTCACCGCTCCTAGTTCGCTTTTCGCCGGCTAAAAGCAACGGACCATTGCGATGCGATGTCCAGCATCTAGCTGGGGATTTATGTTTAAGCGGTCTGGAAAGAGGGAAGCCGAACGATGAAACGTTACAAAATTAGTCAAGTCTCCGGATCGAACCCTGAAACCTTGCAACCTGCAGATCAGCAACCCAGTCGCCGGCGCCTCCACGATCTGCGCGCAGAGGGTACCTGCAGTCTGCGCACACGCCTTCTTTTGTGACCCTTCTGTTGCAACCCGCCTTCTGCGCGCGCCGAAAGCTGTTCAAGGGGCCACGTTTTGCCAACTGGGTAGCCTTAGCTCCTGCGGACAGTCGCCCTGAGGGGCTGGCGACAGGGCTGACTAAAAAGTTAGGTTCTTGGAAGAAAGGTCGATGGCACTGGCAAGCTATCAGAAACAAACCCGAAACCGGTGAGATCCATGAATCTTTATGCAAAGTGACAAAGGACATCTACGAATGAGTCACAATCGAAACCTGGTATTCAATTGGTCTACCCACATCCATGCAAGGCAGTAAGAAGGCGGTCGCACCTATCCCTGGCTGGGACGGTCCCTTGCTAACCGTCATCTACACGGGTTTTGACTATGGCTCACATGGTTGGGGCGTGGGAGAGCAAGTCACCTTTCGAATGACGAAGGTGAAAATTCGGATGTCTCGATCCCAATCTCACAATTCAGGAACCAAGCTATGTGAGTGTGTCTTTTGTTGGGGGACCCCCCCCACCCAAAAAAAGAAAGAAAGAAGGTGATTTTCCTTGAGTTTCCCAGAAAAACAGAAACAAGGGGTACCAACTCAAAAAAAAGGGAACCACACCCAAATGGACACTGAAGGGAGAAACGTACTTGCTGCATTGCTGGTTCGATTGGCAGGGAATGACTTAAATTTGACCCCTATACACCAAAACCATCCCAAAAAAAACAACTACTGACCAGCAACAAAAGGAACGCCACCGCTTTGGGCTAGGTCCTCCAGTAGAGAGCTTAGAATAAGGGTACCGTTTCTTTTTTAGGGGAAGCCAAAAACCCAAAAAAGTTGGGGAGAAAGGGCACCAAGCTGGGGGACCACTTTGCGGGTTCCCCCCTTTCACACCCACCACCCACCACCCGACACCCGGACTCGCCGGGCCTTTTCCGGAGCCAGGACCCCCCAGGACGAAGATCACCGAGGGCCCCAGGATGGCCCGCACGTCCTTCCACACCTAGGAGTTCAACTGAGCGCATGGCATGACCTCCATCAACCGTCCCGAGATCGGTTTCCTGATGTCCTGTCTTTTGTTTTTTTCCTCTGTGGTCTCACCTTGCTGGTGATCAACCGGGCCAAAGGAACCATAATCCAAACCCGGTACCAAAAATGGTCCGGGCCCAGAACCATGCGTCAAGAACTAAGAAGGCGGATTTCCGCAGCTACGTATGGTTGAGATCGTCCCTTACTAGCCTTCACTTACCCGAGTTTTGATTGTGACACAAATGGCACGACCTCCATAAACCGTCCCTAGCGGTTTCCTGATGTCTGCACCTTGCTGGTGATCAGCGGGAATGACCGGTCCTTTCTTGTGATGGTTGAATGAACCGGTTTGGGAGTTCCTTTCAGGAGAAAAAACAAAAAAAGAAAAAAAGACAAGGGAGTGTTTTTGTCTCGGGATCATTCCATTTCTCATTTCCTGCTGAGAACCAGCAAGTTAGACCTGCAAAAAGTTAGCTTGTTCTTGCAGCTTGAAAACAAATGAAGGAAAACCAAAAAGGCAACAGATTAAAAAGGCAAATGAGGGGAACTCTCCCAAAAGAAGTGGCTTCTTTCTGGTATTCCTCGCAACCCGAGGGCATACCCTAAACAAACACACAAGTTCAAATCTGGCGCAAAACGGATGCATTTTCCAGGACATCCCGGAAGATTGGGTGTCTGGACCCGGTGCTTCCTTTCGGCGTTCAGTGATGCTCCGAGACGGGGTCTCACAGATATGCCGAACATGCTGAACAACCAAAAGCCGAAGTCGCAAGTAGCTTCTTTCCCCGAGTTCATGCGAGCCCCTCGCAGCTCCCGTGAACATCGACGCTGAACCATGGTCCAAAGCACGCAACAACCCTGGGCCAAGGTAGTTTTGGCTCAGGCTCACAAACACAAACAAAGGCAAAGCAGCACAAGCTACCAAGCTGAAGCTAGATAGTTGAAAAGCTAACTAAGTATCTAGCCATCCAACCAACCAAAGAACAACATAAACATCAAACAAATACACCAAACACAACATCCAAATACATAAATTCAGGGTGAGTATGATGTGTATATATATATACATGCATGAATGAACGAACGAAAACCACGCAAGCACTTTTGACCCCTGGTTCATGACCCAGCTCATCAAGATTGCCAATCCAACCACTCGCGCGGCACCATATCCACCCGATGGCAAGAGCGCACGCCCACGGCCACGCCCGCGCCCATCGGATGGATGGATCATCCCAGCCCCGTCATCCGCCTGCTCCACCGCCTTCTCGCACTGCACCTGGCGCAGCAAGTTCTGGCCTTTCAAGTACTCCACCACCGGCACGGACTCCTGGCGCGCAAGCGATGGGAACAAAACCAGAAAAGCGCGGCCCCAGGGCATGGCGTGCTGGACGCGCAGCAACGAACAGGCAAACACGGACAAGAGGGGGCGGAGTGGGGGGACTTGAAGGGAAAAGGACCATCAAACTACTTGGTGTTGAAACACACCCAAATGGGTGCCTATTTTGAAGCAAAACCCCCTTGTCTAGTGGTTTTAAAGTGAAACCAAAAGTAAAACCAAGTCTTTTTTGAGGGGGAGCCTCAAAAAGACGCGCCCAAATATATGGTCCCCTTTGTTCACAGGCGGTCAAAATATTATTCTCCTGAGAAAGAAGGTGGGCCAAAAGAGGAAATATGAAGAGCGACCAGAGCAAACTGGCCTATACCTCGGACACCTTGGACATAATATGGGTGTTTCTTTCAAGGGCACCTTTTGTGGGCTTGTTTTTTCAAAGGGAACCAAAGAAAACCTGCTTCCTCGAAAAGGTAGAAACCGATGCTCAATTGTGATACTGTGGATGGACAAAATCCACATGCACAACAAGCAGCAAACCCTAGCAATATGGTAGGTGGTAAGCGGATGTTGTCCATCAGTAGCCTAGTAGCTTAGGTGCTTTTGCAGACACTTCATGACCAAACAAAGAAGACACGTACAGGGAGGGCAGGCAGTCTTGTGACATATTGAGGTCTTCAAATTCCAGTGCATCGCTGGTAAATCAACCAGTTCGTCCTTACTGTTCGATTGGCACTTCCCTTCGCACCGAAAGGAAAGCTTCCAAAGGGCCGCAGGTATATTCGACTTGTTCCAGAAAGGAGGGACTGATTCCCAAATTGCAAGTGGTAAATGATACAGGCTGTAACATACTTGCCATAGTCAGGACATGGACGCATGTGCACGGCTTTGGCCTTCCCTACATCCCTTTTTAACGGATACAATGATGTTCCCAGCGCCCTCAGCTCCAAATAGAATTTGGCAAAGGAGTTGAGTTTGTGACACTCGCGTAACCAGCACCCCTTTTTAAGGATCCCTTTGCATGTATTTTCAGTAATATATCCAAGCAAGATATTTGCAAGGACTGAGGTTCCGGTTTAGTGGAAAACCCCTTGATTTCCCAAAAAGTGAAAGTGTAAAGATCCAACTCAATAGCAGTCAAGGCTTTAGGCAGCATCGAGACTCTTTGTTGGCCAATCTCTGAAAGAGGCGCGACGGCTGCTTGCAAATTGGGAATTGCAAAGCGGGTTTGGGGTACCAATTGTTCAGTTGCTATCCAGTGCATGCCCCAGGGCTTCATGACCTCGCTCAGGGGATATGGGTGTTTCTACACCGGCACCCCCAAAACGGGTTGTTTCCTTCTGGCTTCTCTTACTGCCCAAAAAGGGGCTCCACCATTTTGAGAAGCCCCCATATCGACTTTGGCGAGTTTGCTCCCTCCATCGAGCCGAGGATCGTTCCTTTTTTACCGAGACGCAGCACCTTTGCTTTCCGTGCGAAGGGGCGCAAGGGAGAGAACTCGGGCCAATCCAAGGCCCGGGCTGGCTCAATGGATGACATCGGAAGCTGATCCAATCGCGGCGAATCATTTCTGCCGCTGCGGTCGTTGACTTTGCCCTGCCCCAAAAGCTGCTTTCTCCAAGACCCCCCCCAAAAAAAAGAGCGTGATGCTGTATCTGTTTTGTTCTGCCAAGGCAAAAGATCCATCAGCACTTTGGCCTATTCCGGGATGCTATTTGGGCCCAGCGCTTCCAGCTACCCTGAATTGTAGATAACCAGGGAAGCCATCATTTAAGACCCAGAGGTCGGAAACCCGGTTGCCTTCCATAGTGCCTGGAAGCAACGGGTGGGATGCGTTTCCCTTCCAACAATCATGAAGTGGACTGGGGCCTTCCCAAAACGGAACTGCCAGCTTCCATGTTTGCAGAGGGCAAACGACTCTGCCGCTGTTTCCCGTTGAACAAGTCTGAACTTCATCTACCCCAGCTTTGGGAAATTGGTTCAGAACTCACCCCATGTGGGAAAAAGATAAAGATGAAGTATAAGGTATAACAGTATAACTCCAAGCTTTTGAAGGAAACCAACCCCCCTTTCCCATTTTGTTGGGCACTAACCCCAAGTCTCTCAGTTCAGAACTCACCCCAAAGAAGTATAACTGACCCTTGGATTTCCTTACAAAATGGGCCCTGAAACAAGTGGACCCAAAGCACATCGCATCATCCCCTCCCCGAGCGCAAGACCCACCCAGTCTTGGACTGTCGATCTTGAAGCGAAGACCTCGTGCTTCGCACGTGACACGTCGAGCCACTCCAGGTGCAGCTTCTCTCAGAGCCGAATCTGTGCAGTCGAACGACACCAACAATGGGCGGATTGGTCCGGTTCTTCCCCAGGGTCCCTTGGTACCTCATGAGTTGATGGCTTTTGGGGGGTAAAAAGGGGTCTAAGTACCTCCTTAGAAGGTACTTGGACCCTCTCGGTTCGCTTGCCAACCAGAAAAGAACGGCACCCGAAGAAGAAACGCAAAGGCACACTCACACCGGACGTCAAGCAGTGTTGCTGAGGTGCACAGCGAAGGAAAGCCAACCATGCACGGACCTTGAGCATGCCGAAACGCCGCAAGTTTTGGACCAGCCGGAGCCCTCTCGTTTCAGATCCTGTGCAACGATCTGGATCGTTGCAAAAAAAAAAAAGAACGATCGGATCTTGCTCGGCATTCTGAGGAGAGATGCCGCCCTGTTGACACCCGGCTTTGGGTTCAGGACCCCTCGTGGTGGCGACTGCCGGTGAAACCTTGCACGTCGACTGGATCTTGCTACCCCGTCGGAGAACTCCTGCGCACGATCAAGCTTGACCGAAGCCAGCCCAACCAGAAGGAAGGAACCCCAAGCCTTTACGATCGGCGGTGAGAGAGCGTGCTTGCTTCCGTTGGCCAAGTCTGGGCTCGTGCCTTCCGAAGAAACCAGAGCCGTACCGTGCAAAGACCCTCGGGAGAGAGATGTTACCAATACCGTGCGTGTCCGTGTGTGTGGGTGATGCGCAACCATTTCCGGATCTATCATCCGATGAAACAGGTAAACTACCCTTCCAACAGCAATTGTGGAACCCGGACACAGCGACTCCGTGCATATAAAACGAACATGATCTTGGGGCCTTGTTCAGGTTCCATGCTTGTCTTTGGGTCGGCGTGCAAAAAGCAAGGCACGCATGTTGCAACGCCGCCAGGTCATTTCACTACAGCGTTAGCCTGTTCTGAGCGGATTGGCCCAAAAAAGGAACTATGTACCACTCAGATAGTATTCCTAAAAAGTATGAAGTCCAAAAACGGGAGTGGGTTTTGAGTCTTTTTTCGGCTACACGAAGTAGTCTCCCTTGGAGGGCGTGCTTTTCTTACATGAACCTTAAAAAAAGATCAAAGAGGTCCTTCTCTTGTAACAAACCTCTCACCTTAGTGGCGCTCCATCTCAACTGCAAACGTTTGTCCATTTTGTCCATCCGGTAAGCCGCCATGTCCTTACAGAACTACTACTAGGTCCTCCAGTAGAGAGGTTAGAATGAGGGCACCCTTTTTTCTGTAGGCTATTTTAGTAGGGGAACCCTCCCAGCAAAAAAAAAATGGGTGAGAAAGGGCACCTAGCTGGGGAACCTAGACCAGTAGCTCCTTAGCTCCCTCGTTCAAACGGCCATGGATCCCCCCAGCTCCCCAACGGCTCCCTACCACCAGCTAGGCGGCCGTTTCAGCGCTGAGAGTCCCCCGCTCTCCTTCTGAGGCTCTACGCTGGAGCCACCTGGCAGTGGAACTTGGCTCGTCCGCTTTTTTTTTTGGGGGGAATCGGACCACCTAAAATGGTGGGCGCTCCTTTTGGCGCTCTAAAAAGAACAACCAAAAAGGCGTGCCCTCAAAAAAAGGCGCGCTCACCTTCTTTGTGGGGTGGATTTCATGTTCAGCGAGGCACTGCGGACAAGAAATGGAGGTCCCTTTTCAAAGATGGAAACAACGGGGCTACAAGCACTAAAAGCGAGTTTTGCCCACCACATGTTCTGGGCAAGGCATGAGCATCACAATACGTGTTCTTCCCTGAAACCGACGGTCTGTTGCTAGAATATGTTGCAGTCCACAAATTGCCCAACACAAGTTGATCACTGGTAAAATCGGCTGTTTCTCATCTTTTACGCATTCAAGCTCACTCCGCAAAAGAAAAACACCCGGAGTTCCAGTTTGTTCTGCTGGGCCAATTATTTGTACGCCTCAGTCAGCCCTGCCAAAGGTTTGCCTTTGAACCCTAGCTCGGGACGCCAAGGGGACTCCCTCTTTCTTCACTGGGGGGAGTCCATTTGTATGCCCTCCCCCAACATAACCCTTCCCATGCAAAAGGACCTTGCTTAAACAATTCTGGGTCAACTCACTTCTGGTGTGGATTGGCCAAAGCGGTCCACAAATGATGTTTGCCGCGAAACTTTGTCCCAAGAACTACTCAAGTTCGGGGACTCATGGAGTGGGGTTCAACATGTTGAAGCAAGATGTGAGATCGCACGACCCTGCGGCCAGCCTTCTTGGAGAACAAGCCCCACTTCTTCTTGCCCGGGTTTTTATCCACCAAGGTCTTCAGCGCATCTGGCACGTACTCCTGGCCAAGTCTGGCAAACCACTTCTTGAACCAAAGTCCCCAAAAAAAAACAGACATCACGCTGGCTCATAGGAGGATCCTCCACATCAGCGGGCAAATGCGACTTTGTCCTTATGGCCAACATGCATCCTTCAATAAACCCGGTTAAGGAGCCATCCCCAACACGAAGCTTCGTGATTCCCGTTTCCTCCGAAGGTCCAGGGATGGTCTGGCATGGAGCCCTCTCCAGTGTGACGCTTCTATACCCCCCCCCCTTGTGCGCTGAATGGACAAAATCCTGCACCACTTTCAGAGCCTCAAACACTAGGTGTCCTTCTTAAAGTCAGTTTGGTTGAAAACCGACTGACCTGGTTTCGGCTTGAAGATCTCTGTGCAATGTGTCCTTGAGAGGACACCCTGCACTTCCTGTGGCTAATTATCAAGAAGCCAAGGACACAGGAACAACCTACGCCTCTGAACCAACCAGTCCCATCCTCCCAACTCGGCCGGGCTTTGCGGTTTGCCTGTGGCGCCCCCTAAAAAACTGTGGCGCCGAAGCTGGAGATATTAAACCCAAGCCACAGCCGGGACAGGTTCTGCAATCGGATTCTTAGGCTCTGCAGACCTGGGTGCAGTACTGTGGATGGAAAAGCGAAATCCATTTCGCAGCACTGGGCACTCGTCAAGCATGGTTGAAACCTTTCTTGTCTGCCATTTGTAGGGGAATCATTCCGGGGTTTCTGAATGGTGGTGCAGGAAATCGTCCATCCACAGCTTGGCTTGGCGAAATACTTCTCTCCACGAGTTGTTGGGGGCCGTAACGTCTCAGCACGAACTAATGGAAGCGGACCGCAGCCAAGGTTCCCGCATCGCGGGAACAGGAAACGCCATCAGAGAGTATCTTCTGCCCAATTAAGCGGGAGCTAGAAGCTAACGTGGCTGACAGAGATGGACAGCTTCACTCGGCTTGATCTTTGCTTTCAGCAACTTACTTCAGAGTCGCCTGCTTCACCGGGCGCATTGGCACCAGGGTCCCCATTTGACTCCGAGTGAAGCACAGTGCCCCTGCAGAATGCCCCGTTTTTGTTCAAGATAGTAGTCAAGGCCCGCCTTCGAAAGGACGGTCGCGACCACCCGAAATTGCGTCGAAACAAATCGTGCGAACGCCCAAAGCAGTCGCCGACCATTCAGAAGCCCCTCTCGAATTCAAGAAGTGGACAAGCCCAGCTAACCCCCCCACCCTCCCCCCCCCACCAAAAAGAAAAGAAGCAAAACACCTTCCCATTGGTGTGTCTTTTTTGAACATGCGATTTTTTTGCTGGTTTTAAAGGGAGGCCAAAGGAAACCCTTTGCCATTTCGGGGGGTCCCCGTAAAAACAAGACGAGCCACCCATTTAAGGATTCTGGCCTTTGCGCGCCCTCGCCCTCGCCCCTCGTCCCGCGCCTCAGCGATGCCCATCTCCTCCGCGGCGATGAAGCACTGCAGGGAGGTGTCCACCCCGAGGCCGAAGACGCTCATGAACAAGTGCGCCTCAAGAAACTCGAGAAAACGCTCTCCAGTTGCCACAAGAGATTCTCTCCCAGCCACAAGTGAGAACCAGTAGCCGCAAGTGCACTTGTGCGCCCAAGTCAGCCCAGGCATCGGTTCACCAAATGCTGCACATCAGGGCTTCGATTTTCAGGAGACATGTCGGGTACCAGGAGACATCACACCCATGTCTGGCCCTTCCAGTCACTGTGTCGCCTGTAGCCTCTGCATGTTTTTCTCTGCTCTTGCAGTCGACTTTGGGTGTTGCCAACTTTTGACCACATGCTCGTTCGCGGGCGGCGACCTCTGCTCGAAGAGGACATGGCATTTCGAGGGCTCCCGGAATTTAAAGCGAGTTCTCCAATGCTCCAATGCGCAAAGGAACCAGAAACGGCTGAGCTGGACCAAACCTCACATTGTTGAAGTCACATCCTCAAAAAATGCCCCTCTACCCTCCCTCCAACTAACATGCCAACTGACAGGGGCTCCCTTCAAAAGGAAATGAATCTTCCAGGTACCTCCCCACAGGTGGCATGTTAGTTGGAAGGGTAAATGCAACAAACAACAATTTCCTTCCGCCAGCTGACCAAGCGGTCGCTTCCGGCTTTCCAACTAAAGGCTCCGGGGCCCGGGCTACCATGTACCCGGCAGCAATGTAAGTCAGCATCGGCAGCAAGGGGTCCGCGTCAGGATGGAAGGCCTACGAGTAGCCCGAAAAGGACTTGACCCAACAAGAGCGACCTCCGGTTTTCAAATGAAAAAAGAACCCAAAAAGGGTACACTCCAAAAAACACGCACCCGCATTCCACCTGTCTTGTTAATCAAAACCTGCTATTGCACCCAACACCGTGCAAAGAATTCAACAATTAAAGGGCGGAATTCCGCACCTATGGTAGGGACTAGCCATCTCGTACCGGCCTTCCTCTGCCGGGTCTTGATCGTGGCTCTCGACCGAGCAACCCAATAGGGACAAGTTTGGCATACCTTCAGGAAGGAACGGACTACACTCCTAGTGGCGGGGGGGCACACATGATTGCAATAAGGTAGAAAGGAAAAAAAACGTGAAACTGGAACGACAACAGGGGGACAAACGGTCGGGGAGTACTTAGCCAATCCACGGCCGGAACAAAGCTCGGCCTCGCAAAATGCCCGGAGCAACAGAACAGAAGGGGGTGGAAAGGTTCCACGTGAGCGTACTGAACATGGGATCCCACTATTCAACTCAAACCAGGTATCTACCCCAGCCTTTGCCCCTCACCCAAAAAAAGCGAGGTTAAGAGATAGGTTCAAAAGAATTCCCAAGCAGCAGGTGGCGCTGAACATGCGAAGATAGCCGCCGCTGAACATGCAAAAATAGCCGCCTGAACTTACGGAGTGTCAGGCGAGTCGCAGACCAAGTTCGCCGCTGACCCCCGTTTCGAGTCAGCCGAACTTGCGCTGCAAAGGGATCAACAATTAATTGCCTAATTGACCTTGGATTCCCAACAAGAAACCCATATAAGCATAGATGGCCTTTTGGAACATATATGCCCTGGCAAATGTGGCATAAAACCCATCTAAACCAGCGGAACCCATCTGTTTGCGAACTTCTAGCCAAACCGATCAAAAGGACACCTAGACCTGGTGTGACGATTCGACCAACCAGAACCTCCAAATCAAATCCCTTAGGTTGGAGCAGAAAAACACCACCATTCACACCAGCCAAGTTGCCTTCCGGACCCTCAAAAATTGCATTCCTCTTGGTCCCCTTCAAACCAACCTTGAAAGAGGTACCCTCAAAACACACGCCTTAGCCAGGGTTCCCCGAACAAAATCCTCCTTTAGAAGGGAAACTTGAAACGGCCCCAAAAACGAGGCGCGGACTCCTACCAGTTTTGGGGGGAACCGGGATGATGCTCTGGAGTCCTGGGCCCCCAGTTGAGGTTCGGGGAAGTACCCTCCCGATTACCACATGGAACCTGACGTTCGGGACCCGGTCAGGAACCCCCCCGAAGTTCGGGTTCTATGTTAAGTGGGAGGATACAGGAAGCCCCATTTGTATGTGTACTTTTTAACCCCGGCCCTCCCTCCAGCAATCATGGAAGCTAACTACCGGAGGGTTTTGGAAGACTATGTTCCTTTTGGGGAACCCCTCCACTTCCAAGATTGTTGGAAAGAGGGTGCCCATTTCAGGGCCGCCTGAAAGATAAAGTACCCCACCACCGCAGTGGTGATCGTGATCACCGTCCAGCCGATGAAATGGATGACCGTGCCCAGAATCGCCTCAGCAATTCGCGAGGGTTTCGTGATCTGGGGAACCGGTTCCCTAAAATGGGTGGGATTCCTTCCTGGTTCCCCTTGAAACCATCCATGAGTACAGTACCCTCCTTCCGGTGAAACCATCCATTTCTGGGTACCCTCCTTCTGGGTTGCCTTCTGAAAACCAGCCAAGGCTGGCCTCGAAGCAAAAAAATGACGCACTGCGAGAAATCACCATCAATCTTAAAACCAGCAGGGAACCACGTTACCAGGCGAACCCACTGCTGAGAGTAGCCGCAAAAAAGTATCGCCACGCCTTTTGGCTTGCCACCAACGGCAGACCCAAAAAAGTATGCAAAGTTCAGGCACTTTCGGAGTGAGACCGAGCTGAAAGTAAGGGAAGCCTTTTTTCCGTGGAATCCCCGAAAGGGACCTTCATGGGAAAAACCGAACTCGTGAAATACCCCCCCCTCCCCCCCAATATGATTAGGAATATCCTGTTCAAGAAATGTGAGCCGTGGTTCTGGACTTGTCGCCAAAATCTGTGCACCTGGTCGTGCTTTCTCTACGCAAACATCCGATCACATCCCCTTCACTTCCTCTTCCAGGATCAACGAATGCCGTCCAGTGGACTGAACGCTGCCCCTACTTTAAGAACACCGAGCTCGGCGAGTAGGCCCGGTGGAAGCCCTGATCCAACTCTCGCGGAGACCCCCAAAAAAGAACGCGGGATGAGAGCCTTCATCCAAGGTCTTTCTCTTAGGGAAGCAACAAGGGGTTTGGGAATGAACCCCGGCATCCCCTTGAAAAAGGTACAAGGGATGCTTCATTTCGGGATAATTCCCTCATGCTGAGAACTGGCAGGTTCTGCGAGGGGTTCCCCACATTGACATCTCCGCGGTTTCGCCGAGGTGCCACGACACCAAAGCGGACCATGTTGCGGAGAATCAGCTGGAAGGCGTTCCTCGGGTCGCACCAAACTTGGGTGGGTAAAGCCGTTTCGGGGTAATGAGGGAATAAGCCAAAATCGGGATCCCCGAAGAAAGGAAACCGCCAATTGCAAGGCTGATTCTTGGGCAAACCTCGGGCTCAAGGATCCCGGCGACCTCCCTGCCTTCCAGCCTTCGTGCTTGCCCTAAAAATGCGACGACACACTCAGACTCTGTGGTCTTTCTGCCTGATTCATACTGGTTCTTCCATGTTGAGGGAGCCCTTTACTGTTGGGGGACATACACTCACTATTCAGCCTTGAAAAATCCGACCTCGGGTGAAAGCCGAGAAGGGCTCTTTTCGGGCCCCGTCATATCATGGCCTCACGTCTCCACTTTGCAACTGAAGGGGCCTCGCGAAGGAGTTGGCGTCCTGTTGCCCCCGAAAAAGGATCCAACTGCTTTTGACGGACACTGCGTGCGATCATTTGTGCAATACTCATGGCGCGGAAGTGCATGCTCCAACGTGCAGATTCGGGAACTGGGAGGAACCAGTTCCAAAACGTCGAAGCCGCATGTTCATGTTCAAATAATCTGAGAATCTGAAACTGGTTTAGCACGTGAATGGAACACAAAGGCTAACTCTGGGTACATATTGAAGACAGGTGAAGACACAGAACCATCCCCTCTCAGCCAACGGTCGAATAAAACATGGCTTCCTGATTTCCGTCGCCAAAATGACAGAGGTTCATCTCCATTCGGACTCGTGACAATCGCCACTTCCAAAAAGCCGCCTGACTTCTGGGTCGCACTTGCGCTTGGCTTTCAGATTCAGAGGCTGCGCCAACCCTTTTGTTTCCCTCCAACATGCCTTTCCTTTTGAGCACATCCCAAAGAACTCTTATGAAAGGAATCCTACTGGGAGGCTTGGGGTATGCTCAAAAAGTAAAAACGGGGCTCAACAAACCTGCCGCACCTTGTTCTACGATCATGAGAATGGCGGTCAAGTCCCCACACCCCCCTCTCATGTTTATTGAGGCCCTTCTGGCATGGAGGGTGCTGGGGTGCCCCCCTTTAAAACCCTGTTCCCACAACACATCAATGTCATACGAGTCACAATCAAAACCCGGTACAAAAATGGTCGACCCAGAACCATGTAAAGAACTAAGAAGGCGGATATCCGCAGCTATTTATGGCTGGGGTCGTCCCTTACCTTCACTCACCTGGCTCATATGCGATACGCATGAAACCCATTGACTCTTGCTTCTACCAGCATGGTATAGGTTGTACAGGCCATACTACAAGCCTCTTTGAAACCAGGTTCTACTAAAATGGCCAATAAAGATGTTGGGCACTGCTCATATCAACCCCTTGTACCCGCAACCCTTCCCCCTCCTTTGGGCCTGTGTCTTTGCTACCCTTTGTGGGATGGTACATGGGTACGTGCCGACATAACCCCTAAAATGACGGTTCTTCCCCGAAAAAAGCAACCTGAAAAGGGCACCCTCAAGAAAAACACTGGCCCATCTGGGTGTGGCGTTTGCTTTTCTTCTTTTCTTTGATATATATATATATATATATATTTTTCCGGGACCCCCCCAAAATGGTGGCTTTCCCTTCGTGGTTCCCTTTAAAACCACCACACAAACAAAAGCCGAAGCCCCAAAAACACAGAGTTTTTAAGGGACTCCCCCCAAAATGGTGGTTTTTGTTTGGGCTTCCCTTTAAAACCAGCCAAAAAGCTTAAGCTAGAAACGAGAGTGGCCTGCGATGTTTTAATTTTGCTGGCAAACCCAGGCGCCTGCGATGCAAACGAGGCAAACGCACCGCAAGACGATCAGGCGTCTCATTCGCAGCTCTGTTTGCCTCACTGGCTGTTCGAAAACTAGGTGAAGCAGCATGCCACGACTGTTCTTGGGGACACAACCGAAAAGGCCATCCCTATAAAACCACACAAAAAAAGCCGAAGCCCCAAAAACACAGAGTTGCTAAAGGGACTTCCCCCAAAATGGTGGGAGTTTTGTTTGGGCTTCCCTTCAAAACCAACAAAAAAAGCCTAAGCCAGAAACGAATGGTGGCTTTCCCTTCAGGTTTCCCTATAAATATAAAGCCACAAAACACAGCTTCCGTTTTTAAAGGGACTCCCCCCAAAATGGAAAACCTTCCCTTTGGGTTTCCCTTTAAAACCGGAAAACAAATCCGGGACTCCCCCAATATCGGCTTTCCCTTCCGGGTTTCCCTATAAAACCACGCAAAAAATAGAAGAAAAAAACGAAGCCACGAAAAACCACGGAGACCCAGACGTTCGAGTCCCGGCGTCTTCGCGGAGGTGCAGAAGTTGGTGCCCATCAGCGCCACCTGCGACCATGCGGGTACTCCCCAGCCAGATGCACAGGACACCCCCCAAAAGCGTGTCCTGCCATTTAAAAAAAAGAAGTTGGAGAAGCCCTCGTTCTTCTTTGTGTTTTTTTGGTTTTGCTTCTTTTTTTGTTTTGTTGTTGTTGTTTTGTTTTTTTTTGGGGGGGTGCGAGGGTTCCTGCTTTAAACAAATCCCTTTTGGAGACGCCCTTTTTTTTTGGGGGGGGGGCCGCAAGGAAGCCGAATCTCTGGCAACCGATGGGTCTCAGTTTCAATACAGGACATCACAACAAATCAGGTGGATTCTTTATTTGTTTGTGTGTTCACCGACCATGTTGAAGAGTTCTTCTAAAGAAGGCGCAGCCACCTGAGGGAAAGGGTCTTCCATCTATGTCAACAGGTTTTTGGGCCAAGCGCTAAAAGCTTCCCGAAGCAAGAGCCGAAGGGAGGAAACCCCCTCAAATGAAGCCAACCGCCCCCCTCCCCCTTTGTCTTCCCTCCAAAGAAGTCTCTTTTTTTGGGGGGGAAAAAAAAACGCTTTGCTCAAATCAAGGTGAAGACTCCGCTTGCTGCATGGCAGGTGCGACCCCGCGCTTCCCAAGCCCTACAAATCCTTCGGTGCTTTGGCAGGCCCCCAAAACAAGCAGAACCAAAGAAGAGAAACACAAAACAACAAAAATGGTACGACACAGGGGGGTGGGGGGGGGCGATGAGTCCTGTTGGCCCCTGGGAGACGTGCTTTGACAACCAGAGGTGGTTCGGGGTGCCTCATCTTCAAACACGCCAACTTCGAACATCTTTGATGTCCCTCGCTCTCCCCCATCTCTCTCTTGACAGAAATTGGACAACTTCGACAACTCTCGGCTTCCCCCCTGGTTAGGGAGTGGTTCCCACGTACCCTCAACAAGAACCCGGGGTTCAAATCCCCAAACCACCAATTCAGTTTTACCTGAAACTCTCAAGTTCCAGCCCGAATCCAGCGGCGCCTGAATGTACGCATTCTTGTTGAGGAACTTGATGCACTTCCTTTGATCGGCTCTGTCACAGCTCTTGTTGGACGCTTTTGGGCCCGCGATATGTTGGACACAGACCAGGTTGAAACCCACTATGACAACTTGATTTGTTTCTTTTGCCATCAGAGGGGCAACCAGTGAATCTTCCCAGTGAGCAGGAAACAAATGCTGCCGTGACATGAAATATGTTGTCCCTTGCCATCACTTGCCATTGCCATCACCTGCCCAAAGGCCTGGATTCGATTATCATTGGCGGATCTGTTGGACTCGTTCGCAACCGAAAGGCCCTGTACCGCCGTGACCCAAATGCAAATGCCATTTCTGCACCAAAGGAATGACCCTTCAGGGCTCAAGAGACGCCTTTCTCAGGGCTCCAACCGCAAAGCTCGAAATCTTCAGAACACCGGGTGGGAGAAAAAATTCGAAGGCCGCAGCCAAGAAAGGTAGCTCTTCTGCCTCGTCATTCCCATGAAACGAACCTTTCTGGCTCGGGAGTCTCCGATTTTTGGTCGCTGGCTACCCAATTGGGTGGTCCCTTTGGCCTTCAGCTTCTAAAAATTTGTCAGCTTGTGAGGCCCTCGAACGTCCCCTGGCAACGGCTTCCATTCAACTGACCCAAAGACGACGCCCGGGTTGCGGCGTTTCACGCGATCTCCCCAAATCCCCGCTGCTATTGGATGAGTGAAAGCGTAGAATTAGGCACCAACTCGTCCTCTCTGCAAATGGGTTTCACGCCCCTAAACAGGTCGGCGTCCTTGTGGTTTCTACCTGAAACAAAGAAACGAAAAACACATTGTTGGCTACTTGCAACTAAACAACAGAAATCCAAAACAGTCTCCCTAGATAAACCCCAAGAGGCAACCACTTAAGGAACCCCCCAACCAACAAAAACGGGCATCCAACAAACACCAGCTCACCCCCCGCGCTCGCAAATCGAGTTGCTCGATGATCCAAATGACGCATCCCAGCACTCGGAGCACTAGGGCCTCAAAAGCAAAGGTGTGTGAGTGCGTCAAAAGGGAGACCCCAAACATGGATTTTGGTGTTCCTCGTGCTTTGCCCTTTTTAACCGTTCAAGGTATGCACGTATCATGCATGCATACACGTATCTTTTTTGGAATAGTATGGACTTTCTGCAACGCGAACGCGGGAATGCCAACCAGAGTCTCGCTTGGAACTCGGACGATCCATCCCAGACTATCACAGACCTTGAGGGTCACAAGGTACTCCAGCCGCGACCAGCGCTTTCTTGGTCTCGGCATCTCTCGCACGGCCCTAATCCATATGGGCCACTTCATCCACCCCAGCCATGCAGGCGTACGTCGCAGGGAAGTCAACTGTCTGCTCAGAACCACGAGCAATATGGGGAGTGCCAAGCTGCACCACAGAGTTCTACCTACTGGTGGACGAAATCGATTTCGCACCACGAAATGAAACCATGGTTGAATCCATAACGTTTGTTGGTATTTCATTACAGGGGAATCACCATTCCAGGGCTTCTCAGGTAGTGCAAAAATTTGCCCATCCACAGTAACATCGTCCATTTGTGCACAACCTCCATATTCGATCAAACCACTCTCCCTTTTCGCATGCAGTTTTGTCTTTGAAGCCAAGCTGAGGGAAACCCCTGAATGGGCGAAGCCGTCGACAGCGCAAGCTCATGAGGCGCAAGCTCATGGCGATCGGTGAATGCCGGTGCAACCGACCTTGACACAATCCTTTGTGGTGGTCCTGTCGAACATGAAAACAGGTACCAACCTCAAAACAACACAAAAACACACAAACAAACAAACAAACAAACAAACAAACAAACAAACAAACAAACGAAACAAAACAAACAAAACAAACAAACGAAACAAAACAATCAAACAAACCAAAAAAAACACAAACACACAAACAGACCAAAACAAAAAAACGCTCACACACAGACACACACTACATCCAACATCTCGCCCATTCCAAAGGCCCCCGGCCATCACCCGGTTCTTCTGCGCCGACGCCTGGGCTTCGAAAGGCGAACATCGGCGCGGTCGTCTTGGCCAAGGCCGGCGACTCTCACTAAACCGCCCCGGAAACGCACCAAATATGTTTTGAGGAACAGGGAAAACCAAAAAAAACAGGTTATATATATATATATATATGTATATATATATATATATATATGTATATATATATATACATATATATGGTCATGAAAAATATATGAGGAACAAGGACGCCAACAAAAACATATTTGAGCAACCAAAAGTTGAAAAAACAAGGAAAACAAAAAGTCTATGTATACAAACATATTTAAATTATATATATATATACATGAGGACAACAACAAAAATGATGAAATCAGAAAGAAACCAAAGAAATATCTTTGAGGAACACGGTGAAAAGGAACCAGGAATCAGGCAAACACCCGTTTCGGAACCTTTCCTCCGCGCCCTTCGTTCCTCCCCGCGATTTATCCAGTTTCCATCCAGGTTCTGGACCCAGCGATGGCAAAGCAAACGCGGCACGAGGGGGTGGTGAGGCGCGACAAAGGCCCGTCATTTGCACGGGCCATGTGGTATGAGAAATAGAGCCCGTCTTTTGGAACACGTGGTGCGCGAAAAGCCAAATCAAGAATCAATGCCTGTCATGAAAGAAATCGTTCTGGGATAAACAAGTGGGGTCCCCATCCCGAAAGGGGGGGGGAAGGGACGTTTGATTGGTATTACAAAAGGGTGGCAGCCAAACAGCTCATTTCCCCGCAACCATGTGCGAAGGATCCAAAACAGTCCTTCAGCGCGCAGAATCTGCTGACTGACACTCCAGTGCATGTTGTGGGCATTGAGAAACCCTACAGACCGTCAGCTGACTCCCTGCATGGAACCAGGGGTCCCCAGTTCATTCCGGGTGCATGATTTCTGAAAAAACCTGCGTGAAAAGCAGGAAAACCGAGTCCTGGCTTGCATGCATTCCTACATTGCTTCAACAACACAAGCTGTTGGCATGAAGCTGAATTTGCCACATGTGGTTGGCCAAAGAAATGAACACCCGTGTTCAGGTAGCGAAGAGTTGCGAAACTTTGCATGCATATGATGATAAGGGCAGATCCAAGGGAGTTTTCAGGTGCCTTACGGGCCCCCCTCCGGCCTGTTTCTCAAAGTACTTGCAGAGATACCTGCGGCAGTGGTTTGCCATGAGGACGGAGGCTGAATGACACTCACTCAAGGTGAAAAGGGTACCCCTCAAAGAACTCTCACACACACACACATACACACCCACACGCAAATACAAGGAAACAAGCGTGCTAAGTAGCTCCAAAGAAGCGAAAGGAACATCCTGAGGGGTAGAAAAGCTGGTCGAAAGCAAACTGGAGGAAACCAAACCAGCTGAGTTGACCCTTCGGGTTTGATGGTTGAGAGGTCTCGCCTTTGTTACCTTGGCGAGAGGTGACATGCAAAGCGCACTGCCGTACCAAGTATTGAAGAAAAACACCGGGAGTCTTCTGGCAAGCACAGAGAGAGGGGAGACTAAACCAGGTTCCCACTTAACAGGAATGGCTCAAGGGAGCTCCTATTCCATGGTGGGTTCTGATGATGCTGATGATGATGATGATGATGATGATAGTTCTGAAGTCCTTTCTCGGCGGTAGGCATACGGGCCAGCGTCTCTTCCATAGGGATGAAGCTGAAGAAACCTGTAGATTCATGGTTGTCTGGCCTATACTCATGGTTCTACATGGGATAGGCAAGGTGTAGTCAGTGGGCCCCCTTGTTGTCCCCTTATCGCAATGGTCACAACTTATAACCTACTTACCTGATGTGCATTCAACATCGCAGTCACCAGCACCTAGGCAAGTCGTTTCAACTGGCTGGCAAGTTGTACCCTTGGATCGGCATAACTCACATGGCGGAGAGTCATGTTCAACCATTTGAGGGAGGCCAGCCTCAGGGTCCCCCTGAAACCCAAGATTTGGAAGCGGGCCTTTCAAGGTGAGACTGCCCCGTCTTAGTTGAAGTTCCAGAAGGAACGGTAAGCTTGCCGGAGTACACTCGCAGCACCACCCACCAAGACTCCAAGTCGTTTTTGTTTCGACGGAAAACAATGCTCATGGTCCAACCAGGAATGAGGTCGGATCAACGCCCAGAAGCACACCGAAATGTAGCTGCCGGCTGTTTGTTTGCCTCATCGCATACTCCACCGTGGGCCCGCTCAGGGAATGCACGTACAGGACTTGGTTGAATTCCAAGAGTGCGAAACATGCCACGAACTACCCCAGCTTCCAACTGCCTTGCTTCTCCCTGGTGTTTGGTCCAAGGCCTAAACAATGAAAGCGGGGTTGCAACATTGTAGGACACTTTGAAACCAGCCACACAGTTGGTGGAATCCCAACTGGTGCGACATGGATCATACCGTGGGTGGACGACTTCCATTTCGCACCAGTTGAGATGGATGAAGCCCGATTTGAATCCACAGGGGGTCAAACCGGTACCCTCCCACTACCACTGGGGTCATTATTTGACCGTTTCTAGTGATCAAAGTCAGACATGGGGGATGTGTCCTTTACCCTAGCACTTAGGGGGTGACTTTGAGAAGGGTAAAAGGATGGGGCCAGTCCTACCCATCCAAACCAGTACCCTCCCACCATGGAACCTGACATTGAGGCCATTTCTCCAGTAGGTTCCATGGGATTGGAGGCCTGATGAACTGGACCAGCGCCAGGATGAAGGCACCTCAGGCGCTTTCGGCGCTTTCGGTGGTCGGCACCCCTGTGGCGGATTTTTGTAGGTGCCCTCGATATCCAGGTCGCCGAGATCAGCCAAAACGGCGCTTAAAACCACCGAAAAGGAACATGTACAAAGGTTGACCCCATATTAAAACCCAGTTTATCAAATTCGGGGGGTGCCCCTGGGTTGATAGGGGAGTGTCAACCTGGGTTTAGTGGGGAATCAGAGCACGTTTTAGGGCCAAAGACCTCCCCCCGAATTTCATTAATAAACTAGGGTTGCTTAACTGGTTGGTTGATGAAAATATGGGTTCAACATTATCCCTAGCTCTAGGCAGGTCAAGATTGGGGGATTGTTTGTGGCAATCAGATCCTTGGAGTGTCAACCCCGAACCCGTGGTCCAATTGTGCGCGGCCGTCGAGCGCCCTTGGAAGGCGGAATGGATTCCAATCAACTACAGGCAATTGCCCCACGCTGCGCAAAACATAGGGGGTGACCCCAAAATGGGGGGGTTCCTGGTAAATGAAACCAGGACTAGATGCAGTCCATATCTTGGTGGTTGAAACAAATAACACATACCCATTTGGGGCATGTGCGCTGAAACCCAGAACTCTCCCGGGCCCCATCCAGCGTCTGACGAGCACGGCACCAAAGGCGACCGTGCCCAAGTGGTAGCCTCGGACGGGTAAGAAGCACTGAAGACCCGCCCCCAGCCCAGCCGAATCATGGGCCATGTTGAATCCATGTTGACGCGCAATGCCACCTCGGCCAAAAGGGAACTGACCCCCCGTGTTCCGCTTTGCAAACAGGGTTGTAGCTTGCTACCCTCCGGAGGGGTAGCAATCATGGAGGCTGACAGGAGGAGGGTTTTAGAAGACTGCTTTCCTTTTGGGGAACCCCTCCGTCCACTTCCATGGTTGCTGGAAGGAGGGTAAATGCCTTGAACGTCCAAGAGCAGCGTTTGTTTGCATTTTCCGGAGGTTCAGCTACTTGTCACGAGCAGTGCCCATGTCAGGTTGAAGCATTTACTGGAAATACATGTCAGGTATGCTTTTCCCAGTACATCACCCCAGCCAATATGCAAAAGTGGTATGACCTGTGTACTGTCTGGTACGTCGCTCCCAAGCACACCCCATGCGTCAACCTTGGCCAAACCATTAGAAGAATAAGAATCGTCAACAAGAGAAGAAGAAGAAGAAGAAGAAGAAGAAGACGAAGAAGAAGAAAAAGAAGAAGGACAAAAAATAAAAAGAAGACGAAGAAGAAAAAGAAGGTCAACCAAGAACGAGTCCATGTCCATCCTTTTTACGGGTTGTTTAACTTTAACCACGGGCAGATGGCTCCTCCTGTACCAGGGCCTCTCGACAGCCGTTCAGTAGAGCACGATCCATTCAATCGTCCAGGAACTCACAAGAGTACAAGTGACCGTCTAAAAGGGACTAATAGACAAACAAACAAACAAACAAACAAACAAAGAAACAAAGAAACAAAGAAACAGACAGACAGACAGACAAAACAAAACAAAACAAAACAAAACAAAACAAAACAAACAACCAGCCAAACAAACAGACAAGCAAGCAAGCAAGAAAACCAACAAACAACAACCCGCCAAAGAAACCGAGAAACAAAGACACAAAGAAACAGAGAAAATAGAGAAAGAAACAGAGAGACAGAAAGACAGAGAGGCAGAGAGACAGAGAGACAGAGCAGCAAGCAAGCAAGCAGCAAGCAAGCAAGCAAGCAAGCAAGCAAGCAAGCAAGCAAGCAAGCAAGCAAGCAAGCAAGCAAGCAAGCAAGCAAGCAAGCAAGCAAGCAAGCAAGCAAGCAAGCAAGCAAGCAAGCAAGCAAGCAAGCAAGCAAGCAAGCAAGCAAGCAAGCAAGCAAGCAAGCAAGCAAGCAAGCAAGCAAGCAAGCAAGCAAGCAAGCAAGCAAGCAAGCAAGCAAGCAAGCAAGCAAGCAAGCAAGCAAGCAAGCAAGCAAGCAAGCAAGCAAGCAAGCAAGCAAGCAAGCAAGCAAGCAAGCAAGCAAGCAAGCAAGCAAAGCAAAGCAAGCAATGCGAAGCGAAGCGAAGCGAAGCGAAGCAGACAGACAGACAGACACGGGACAGGACAGGACATGACAGGCCAGGACGGGGACGGGGACGGGGATGGGGACAGGGACGGGGACGGGACAGGACAGACAGACAGAAAGACAGAAAGACAGAAAGACAGAAAGACAGACAGAACAACCGCCGTTTGCAAAAAGAAGTGGGACTATCCACTTCTTGTTGAATTGTTTAACGGTCAACGTGCAGAACAAGAGTGGCCTCGAGCAAAGTGTGAGGGAAGCCAAGGGGGCCAATTCGGCCAATGGAACACAGCTTTCAGCACCTGGCTTGCTGGTGCGATAGGTAAGGAATGTGGGAATCCCAGGGATTCCTTGAAAGGAAACCACCAGATAGATGGTTTGTCTCGGGGTCATTCCATTTCTCATTCCCTGCATCTCTCGCACCAGCAAGATGGTGAAGGGTTCTTCCCAAATGGCACCCGCGAGGTTTGAAAGAGCAAAATGGTCCAAGACAATGGCCACGTACGCAGACCCGTCCACAGGACCCTGCCACACATACCCCCGTCAGGGAGAAATGTGCCAACTCTGAAAACATCACCCCGACCAGGGAGCTCCACCTTTCGGCCTAAATGATCCCTGATTATTCAGGGGTCACTGGATCTCCCAAATCAAAAGTTGATCATTTTGCAGCTGGTGTCCATTAAAAACGATTGCCACTTTTGAAGGTTCCAAAAAGGAACGTGGCTCGGACACCCTGTTCTTCCCCACACCAAAGCCGGCCCACATTCTCTTGGCCGGCCGAGATGCGGAAGGCGATGCGAAGGGACTGGCGAATCACGTTCTCCTGGCCACTGGACGCGGCCCTAAAAGCCGATGTAAAGCTTGGCGGATTGGGGTGCAACAAAGACCACGCAAGAATCAAAGAAGGACCAGTGGTTGACACATCAGGTTGGTGGAATGCTGATTTTGGGCGGCAAAGGACCTTGATGTGCATGCTGTGGAACATGCCCACGGTTAGATATGAATACATGAAAGAAAGTCACTTTGCACAGCTTTTGTACAGCAGTCATGATTGCATAGAGCCAATAAGTTCTGGCACGTGACTTCTAAGCATTCTTGCGCTCCTTGGCTGCGGGCCCCCCTCAATGCACAAGGGTGCATAACAACAAGCAGTGCGTCATGGAAGAACGGTCCAATGAGGCCGCCTTGCAACGTGAGCTTCAGTCATGTAATTATGTAGCCCCTGGCGATTACAGGCTAAACTGACTTTTAAAAAAAAATATAATGTTGAGAACAATGAAAGTGCTCCTGGTAAGGCAACTCTACGCCCTCTCACCTGAAATCCGGGACCCTTCATTTTGCAGAGTTGCCTCTGTCAACGTCTGTCAACAGCATTCCGGATGAGACAATGGTGATCAACAGATCCGTTTCTTTCTCACCACTGCAGCCCGGGGATTTTCAGAACGACACGGCTAGCAAAGGTTGCTCTTTCCAAAGACAGCAGCATGTCAACCGACAGGTGTGCGGGCTGAGCGTGCCAAAAGGAACCTCTCAGTTCAATTCGTCCGAGAGCTCCCAGGAGACTTCCTCACCAAAAGGGTTGGTGTGGCGGCAAATGACGCCAGGATGTCAAACGGCTCTGTACTGGGCAACCCGATTGATGTTTGCGGGGCCCTTTCTGCTAATTTGCTGACAATTAACATGGCACACCCAAAAAAAATCAAGGTCTCTCTAGATCTGGCGCCCTCCCCCCGCCCCCTGCACCCAAAAGTTGGGCGTGCAAATATCCACTCACTTGATCTGCGTGCCCCCCATTTCACGTGGCTTCCCTGTCAACTCGCGCGATCTATCCGGGGACAGTGATCGGCCACCGGGCCAATCTTCACGGCCCAGGCCCGCAGGCCTTGCCGCGGCGCTCATCGGAGGTGAAGAACCACTGCGCGCAGGCGCCCGCCACAATAAGCCTCCGTCCGCAATCCCGGGGTTGGGCTGGGTCAAAAAAAATGTGACATCAAGTTTACCCTCTTGATGCGAAAAAAATGACGCTTCAAAGGACCACACCAAAGTAATTGTGAGAACCCCCTCAGAATGCTCACTTTAGGTGAGCCATGAAACAAAAAGCGGAGGCTCAATCACAATAGAGGGGTGCAGACCACCAAAAAAAGCCACACCCTCCAAATTCTGAGAGACAATGCCCATTAAAGCAGTTGTGAAGCCATCGGTCATGCAGCTCCGCTTGGTGGAGGAAAGGAAGCTTACATGTGTATGTATATGTATATATACATAGAGATATGAGGATATGGGGTTGTTTCAAAATAGGGGAACGCGCAAATGAGTGGCTTCCTTTTAAACTATCCAACAAGGGGAGGCCGGATTTCGGGACAGACCAAGACGCGTGTGTTTGTGTGTGTGTGTGTCTCATTGATTGAAGGTCTCACTTTGAGCAAAAGAAACCAACATGGATGCCCAGCGTGTGCTGGGGTTGCAACTCGATAGTTGATTTGCACATCAGTTTTTTGAAAGAAGTCAAAAGGAAAACCAGTTTCCACCTAGTCGAACCATGACAAGTTAGGGATTGCCGGCTGCCTTTCGCAGTACTCTCAGCGAACACCCCTGGCTTGTTTTAGGCAACCACTATCCACGGATTCGCTACGAGGCGCGAGAAGGGGGTCTCCTAGAATTCAGGACCCCTGTTGGATGGTGCTTAAAAAAATCAACAGTCGCTCTGAGATGGGCCCATTTTTCAGGCGATACCCATGTGCTGGCTGCCGGCAACCCTGCGGAACACGCTTGAGCACCCAACCACGCTTCATTTCAAACGCACCGAGAGGAGTCATAGTTTTCTGGGCTGCCCCTGCTAAAAGTTGAACTTTTGGGTTGAATGGAAACCCCCACTGAACACTAAAAGGCTAAAAAGCTAAGGGACCGGATGGCCTTCGCCACCAAGCATTTTGAGGACTCCCCGTGACATGTCACACAGATCCGCGCCGAAATGGGGAGGGGTTCAAGCGAGCACACCGAAGCTGAGGGAAAAAGCCGCCCTGGCCGAGTCGCGCCGTGGCGGTATTGCAAACTGTTGCGACATGGTAAGAGGGCTGGTTTGGTTTAGTCAGAACAGGGGTGTGAAACACAAAGCTGGGCTTTTTCGGATGCTCCAGGCCCAGAAGCTGAAAATATCACCTGCAAAGCCCATGGGATTGAGTCCACATGGGTTCGCCGTGGAATCTGAAGCCCAGCCAGGGAATTGCTGCTGGCAACTCCAAACGCTCCAAAGGCCTGGGCTTCCCCACTGGCCCAACGCCACCAGGAAGGCGTTGTTCCACAGCAGGGTAAAGAAAGCCTCGAAGCGACTTGTTGGACCCCGCCATACCACCGACCAACGGCGGGTGGTGCTTCTTCATGGACAAGCCCAGGCGTCATGTCTGATAGAAACCCACCAAGTTGCGGGCCCAAAGCGTGTGCTTTCTGCTCGGACTTGTTCTGTGGGAAAGTAAATCTTACTGGTGTGGGAGGGGGCGGACGTTAACAGACATCACGTGGGGGGCCTTGCAACTACCCAAAATAGTTGTATTCTGCCTGCAACCTCTAGGGATGCGCAACACACACACACACAACCACACAAGTGAAAGGAAGTAGTGTCAAGGAGCAACAAGGTGGGAAAGATTGGTGACCCGAAGCGTGATCTCACCAAAACGCTCCCGATTTTTGGCCCACCTGCAACATTCGAGTCTGCAACTACGAAACCCACTTCTGGATGAATTGAAAGGAAACCGGAAGGAAACCCAACCACCAGTCCGCCTTGCAACTGGGCAAGCGTGTATTCCAAAGGACGGCCATCCTTTCCCTCACCGGCTCAGCAAAACCAAAAAAGAACAGCAGGCGGCCTCGAGCTGTCTAGAAAGGAGCCCCGACTTCAGGACTTTTGCCCCGGCTTCAGGATTCAACTCCGATCACGGAAGCCTTGCCTGTCCAACAACGAGTCGGACCGTGACTGCCCTTCGGCCAAATGACCGATTGCAACTTTTGCCATCAACCGCCCTGTGCAACTCCAAGGAATAATGTCCGCCGCTGATCAAAAAACAGTGGCGTCGCCCGGCTCGGAAAGGAAAAAGGCTCGAACCCGGCGCCGAAATGTCCAAAACTCCGTCGAGACGTGGGTTCCCACGCCTCCTTCCGGCACCGAACTTCGGGAGAACCCGGCTATCCCGCCCAAAAACAAAAGGCTCAGGTGATATCCCCAACAGCATGCGGTGCTCCACGCCTCCTTCCGGCACCGAAGTTCCAAAACCCGGCTATCCCGCAAAAACAAAAAGGACCCGAACATGAGAGAAAGAGTCGAAACTCCACCCGGGGGCGCGGTAGCCTGGAGCACTCCCCCCCCCCGGTTTTGGGTGACCATCCCAAGCTGGGAGGCTCTGAAAGACCTCAAATTTGTCTGGTACATCCACACTTAAACATGAACTTAAAAGACTATCTGAAGGAAACCATGGATGCTTTATAGGGCTTATTCCCTCATCCCCGCAGAACCAAGCCAGCAACAGCTCAGCAAGTGCGGTGCAGAAGGGGACCTCAGGCACTAGAATGCTTTCGGCAATTGTTGACTTTACACGCCCCATGTTTTCAGTACCCCCCAGGTAGACTTAAACCAAGATGTTCACGTACGAACTTGAAGTGCCCCCGCCCTCCCCGGGCCCCTCGGTGGTCAAAGCAGCACCCGCGAACTTGTAGTCAAAGGCGTAGCGAGGCGGGTAGCAGCGCCAGCACTTCGGCCTAGATCTGCATGCGGGAAATGGACTCCGCGGATCTGTACAACCAACAGGGCCGATCCCCGAAGGCTCACCCCCCCCATTTTAGAAGGGGATTCCCGGAGGTATCACAGACTTACCCCTTAAAACTCCAAGCCCTGGGGAAGTTAATCTTTTACAGACATATAGCCCATGTTACCGAAAAAGTTGAAAAGTTGTGTTTTTAAGAGGTAAGCAGAAGTGGCTGGATAAACCCCCAGTGATCCCACAACCCTGCATCCGGTTTTCATCTGAACCAGGAGCCGTGGAAAAAAAAACAGTGCTTTGTTGTGCTTCTTTGTCGCAAACCTATTGCCTGGAACTGGGCAAGCCGGCTTGTCGAAGGGCCAAGGTCCGATTTGCACTTAGGAACCTGGAGGGGGCCGGCCAATGTAAAAAGGTTGAAAGTGCTGCCAGGCTGCGGTGTACAAGTGACCAAACGACCGCCAAGCAACACAGCGAAGCGCCAAAGCAATGAACCAGTCAACAGCTCGAGTGTTTACTTCCCAAAAGTCGCCAACGCCACCATGCCAAACCCCCCAACATAAGGCCGCCAATTACTCAAGCCATCGGATTCCAAGAGATCTGGCCATGGGTCAAAATCCCGTACACCCCCAACGAACATCCCAATCCTCACCACAATAGGTTCTAAAATGGGTGGTGCACCTACCCCAAAATGGGATCCCAAAACGGTTTTGACAACCACAGCCACATGAGGCGGTCAATTCCTCAAGCCATGGGATTCCAAGAGATCTCTAGCCTGGGCTCCCCGTCTCCATGCCGGTGGTGTCGCCGTACACTCCGGAGCAGGTGTCGTTCGCAGAGCTGAGGTCGCCCTGGCGAGGCTCCGAGTCCTCTTGTCCAGGGCTGGGAATGGAATCCACTTCTGTGATACACCAGAAAGGGCCTAACCCCAAAGACGAGTTTCTTCGTATTTACCGGGGGAGTCCCCCGAAGGTATCACAGAAGTGGTTGGAGAAACCCCGAGTGATCCCACAACCCTGCTCTTGTCGATGATCCCCTGTCAAAAAACCAAAACCAAAAAAGAAAAAACCATCCCCACCGGGCCCCAAGCAAAAAGGGGGCTTTAGATGGCACGGAAGCATCGGAGAGAGAAGGATTCACGAACAGCACCGGCAGTAGATGTGTCCCCCTCGCCAGCATGGAAGTGCACAAACCCCCTTTGCAAGACCGTCCTTTTGACAAGGGGTCCTATTGTTGCAGGGTGCCCCCTTTGACGCCGTTGACTTTTTTGCCAACATGGTCAAGACTGTGGATAGAGAAATTCCTGTGAAAATCATTGGAGAAGCCACCTACCGATGGTGCGAAGGGCTTGGTCGGCCAATTTTCAAACACCAGCTCCGTGCCAACCAGCACCGATCCGTTCCAGTTCTGAGTCAACATCGGTGTTGGTCATAAAAACATAAGCTCAAAACCTCAAAATCGGAGTGGTGTTGGTCAAAATCGTGTATAGCCGGGTCAAGATCGGGGTGGCTTTGGTACGATCCGGGGCCTCGTACTTCCATACGGTGCCGCTGGGCCACTTGTCGGTGCAGGCACCGGGGGTGGTGTCATTGCCAAACCTCAGCCCCGGATCCGTGGGATGCTTGGGCTGCTCGAGATTCGCGCCCCGGGTTCGGAAGGGAGGGCGCGGGCTTCCTCCCTTTTTTTTAAATTTCTAAAAAGGGGGGCTTGGGGCTTGGGCAGTTTCGCTCAACAAGTCCAACAAGACATACTACCCGGAAAATGGGCTCCAAGCCCTAACTGTCAACATACGTGAGTTGGGAGGCTGCAGTTCTGAGTAAGGCTTCGAAGTCTAAAGAGAACAATCCGATCATACCAATCGGGTCGAGCACTGGGGCCTGCTGGGAATTCCCTCTGTTCATTCAGACCAGCGTGCCCACGAGCAATTTGCCAAAAATAACCCATGGAGAATTACTCAAGGAACCCTCAAAGATCCTTCAACATGTTTTAGAAGACTGCTCAAGAAAGCTCGGCAACCCACAAAGCTGGACCGATCGCACCGGGTAAAGGAGGAGAGAAAGAGAGAAAGAGAGAGATAGAGATAAAGAGAGACAGAGAGAGAGAGGGAGAGAGAGAGAGTGGGAGACACAGAGAAAGAGAGAGAGAGAGAGAGATAAAGAGAGAGAGAGAGAGAGAGAAAGAGAGAGAGAGGGAGAGAGAAAGAGAGAGAAAGAGAGAGAGAGAGAGGGAGAGAAAGAGAGAAAAAGAGAAAGAGAGAAAGAGAGAAGAGAGAAAGAGAGAAAGAGAGAAAGAGAGAAAGAGAGAAAGAGAGAAAGAGAGAGAGAGAGAGAGAAAGAGAGAAAGAGAGAAAGAGAGAAAGACACAAAGAGAGAAAGAGAGAGAGAGAGAGAGAAAGAGAGAAAGAGAGAAAGAGAGAGAGAGGGAGAGAAAGAGAGAAAGAGAGAAAGAGAGAGAGAGAGAGGGAGAGAAAGAGAGAAAGAGAGAAAGAGAGAGAGAGAGAGAGAAAGAGAGAAAGAGAGAAAGAGAGAAAGAGAGAAAGACAGAAAGAGAGAAAGAGAGAAAGACAGAAAGAGAGAAAGAGAGAAAGAGAGAAAGAGAGAGCGAGAGAGAGACAGAGAGCGACAAAGAGAGAGAGAGAGAGGGAGAGAAAGAGAGAAAGAGAGAAAGAGAGAGAGAGAGAGGGAGAGAAAGAGAGAAAGAGAGAAAGAGAGAGAGAGAGAAAGAGAGATAGAGAGAAAGAGAGAAAGAGAGAAAGAGAGAAAGAGAGAAAGAGAGAAAGAGAGAAAGAGAGAAAGAGAGAAAGAGAGAAAGAGAGAAAGAGAGAAAGAGAGAAAGAGAGAAAGAGAGAAAGAGAGAAAGAGAGAAAGAGACAGAGAGACAAAGAGAGAGAGAGACAAAGAGAGAGCGAGAGAGAGAGAGAGAGAGAGAGAGACAAAGAGAGAGCGAGAGAGAGCGAGAGAGGGAGAAACAGAGAGAGACAGAGAGACAGAGAGACAGAAACCAACTAACCGACCGACCGACCGACCGACCGACCGACCAAACGATCGACCGCCAAACCAAACGACCAAACGACCAGCCCAACGGCCGCGACCCACCAGCCAACCAATCAACCAACCAAACGACCAACCATCAACCAGAAGCAGCAGGCCACACAACGCTTCGCCATCTGCAGCCAGGCAGCGCTTCCATGTAGGTGGCAAAGGAGTCCGTTGGCCTTCGGAGGCAAATACCAATGTCAGGTGGATCTCTGGCCGAAAGAAAGGAGACTGGCAGAAGCTCCCCAAGGAGATTCCTGGAACTCTCTGCTGATCTGGTTTGTGGCTTTCTTGGCACCGGCCGCCTTTGGATGTGGGAAAATTCCAGGCAGACCATCTGGCCTTGCTTTGCCTTTCTTGGCACCGCCCGCTTGTGGATCGGGGAAGACCAGATCCAAACGGTTTCCCGTCCGAGTGCGAGGCGTGTAGGCCGCCGGCACTTGCGAGAGGAGGAAGGAGGCGCACACGATCCAGATCAGAAGCCAGGCAAATCCAATGGCGATCTGGACAACCTCGGATCGCATGTCGACTCGGACAGCTTTGTTCATGACCCAGTTCTTCAAAGGTAACCCATCGCAGAGCCTGGAGGAAAAACAACCGGGCGATCTATGACTCAAATCAGCACTTCGAGTCGCTCTCCGTTTCTTCGGCTCCCGAACGACCCAGAAAAGTTGTCTCGTTGCTAGGCTGCGAGGCTCCGCTTGCACTCCGGGGTCCCCGCTGGTACCGCGAGGATGGTCGGATTGTTGTACACGAACTGCGCCTCAGTTCGTGACGGTCTGGAAATGGACGTCTTGTTTCACGGGTGACCTTGTTTGGGTAGTTGGAAAGGGAAACCAAAGGGGAAGCCATCATTATTGGTTCATCCATTAATGATTTAATGGACATGACATACCCAAACGGCAACGGCACCCTTCTGTTGGATCTGCTCTCAAAACCGCCGACGCAAAGCACCGAAATTAGCGAGCAACGAAAGCAATCGTCCACGGCAAAAGGTCCGAACTTGGGCAAAGTGAGATCGCTCTGCCGCTCGCCAGTCTGTACTCATATCATTTACTAAGGGGGCCTGGGTCAGACCTTGACACGCCAGGCAAGTAGGTAATGACCATGGTGATGAATGGAACGGCTGGGATTCGCTCCCTTTTGACCATGGGCAGTCACCTGCCAGGTAGGTTGAACAGCCAAGCAATCGGACACACCACCGAAGCGTAGTCGTGGACTGAAGAAACTGAGAAAGTCTCTTGTGAATCGAGAGACTCCCTCAAACCAGAAGCAATGTCAAGGCAAAGCCTGCGAAATGTTGAACATCACGTGCCCTTTCAATACTAATTATATGACCCCCCCCCCAAAAAAAAAAAAAAGAAGACTCCATATGACCCCATGACCCCATGACCCCCCCCTGGCACCTCATGTGTTGTCGCCCTGACCCTTGCTGGCTCCCCCTTCTCGACTTCGCCAAGGCGCTGCCACCTTGTTCACCGCCACCGCCAGCCGGATCCGCTTCTGCAGGAAGCACACCGCGATGATCTCGGCTCTTTGGAGCGTCCGCTCCGATTTGGCTGTGGCTGTCAACAATATGTCCCCAAAATGGGTTGCCCGGGTAAGTGGAAACATGGAGCAAAACCTGCGGTCCATATTCTGGTGGTTTAATTTTGACCCACACCCATTTCGAGGCCGCCGTTGAAAGGCTGATGGTGGGAGGTCCTATGACCTATGATTTCCTGAGGTCCCTCAAAACCAAACCAAATTCCAACAATCTGGTCTCAAAAAGTTGGCTTCCCTGTAAAGCCAACAGGGGAGGTCCCCCAAAACGCACAAATACCCAGTTGCTCAAGTAGGCTCCGAGTTGTGCGAGGCACCTCCGACAATTGATGGGTGCTGCCAGAGGAGAAATGGTGGACAAAATGCCCCCCTCAAAACAGAACTTTCACAGGAGCACCTCCAAAACGGGTGCTGCCGGAGGAGAAATGTTGGCCAACCCCCCCTCTCCCCGAAATGCCCTCAGCTTCCCATGGCCTTGGGGCGGCCACAAGTCACTTGACTTGGAGCTTCAAGCAGGACCGCAGGACCCCCCACGCTCCCAAGTTTAGCCCAGCTTTGGGCCCTTCCCTTTAGCGAATCATTCAGCAGGGATTCATGTTGCGCCATTGTGGGGCATTGAGGGCAAGCACCATGGGTGGTTCTCACATCAAGGGGAGCCCGAACATTGGAGCTGCTTCCTTTTGGTATAAACCCACAACTGGGTACTGTCGAAGTCCCCGGAAAAGAGCGGGGTCCTTAAATATCTACCAACCACAAAAGGACCCGTCACTTTGAAAAACAAACACGCTCACACGCTCACACGCGCACACACACACACACACACGCACACACAAGCACATAAACGCACACAAACGCACACAAGCGCACACAAGCGCACACAAGCGCACACGCTCACACGCGCGCACACACACACACCAAACTCACCGCCCATCCCATCCCTCCACCCGGGGCCCCGGCCCAAATGCCCCCGAAGGCCCAAATGATGTAGGCGAAGGCCTTCAACACGTCGCCTCAGCTGGTTCTTGCTCCAACCGATAAAAGAGCAAAGCCAAATAGAATGTAGCCTAGGTGTCCAAATATTAACACAAATATAGGCTTCCTTTTGGTCTTCCATTAGAGAAACTTGACAGGTGAACGAAAGCTAGCCGTATGTTTGGAAGAGAATATTTCTCAATATGCGGTCCAAGTTTGGGTCAGAACTTTCTGGATGTTTAACGTTGCTCTTCCGAATATCGTGGCACCTGCTGGTTTGTACATGCTGGGCTGGCTAGTCCTTTGTTAAAACCACCCGATGGCGTGAGACAGGCCCTTGTCGTCACCCTCGTCGCCCGGGTAAGGCGTCTGGTTTCCTCTGGGCCCCAAATCGGAACTCCGTTTCTCAGGGGGTATAGTAGGTGACCAAGGGTTACAGCCAGACCATATAAATCGATCTAAAGACCAAATGGAAAATGGATCGAAGGGCTACTAGCGGTGACTGAGATCTACTGGGTAAGGGTGCTGCTTGGTGGCTTCCCGTTTGGGACCTTTTTGTGAGGGTGAGAATTCAGGCCCTTTTGATTCAAGCCAAGAGGTTTTAGCCGAAAAAAATCGACAATCGGGGCATCGTTCAACATGACCCATGCCCAGTGTCAAAACAGAGGTCCCCAAAAAAAGAGGACCTGAGCCAAAGGACCCGAGGCGTGACTGGAAACCGGCCATTTGTATTCCGCAAACAGCACTATTAGGGGTTAGATATGCCTTTGTGCGATGGAACCACCAAGAAAGCAGCTCAAGGCAGGCCACTCTGTGAACGGCTAGTTCACCTGGTAAGAGGGGTGTAGCCTACCTGTTGCCTTTATTCCGCCCTTGCAATCAGAGTGGACACCCTTGGTTCGGACACGCTGGTTGGCATGCACATGTAGAAATAACGATAAATCAGCCGAACAGATTGTTGCTGCGCAGTCCTGGCAAATAGATACGTATTTCCAACTGCCACCTTTTTTCAACCAAACTGAACCAAAAGGGCACCAATGTGAGAATCCTATGTACGGCTGACGGCCCTATCCCCAAACAAGAGCGTCTCTGCACCTCGTTTCATGCCTGCCGCCTCGAACAGCGAACCCGCCGAACCCGCGCCGGAAAACTCTTTCCGGGCCGCGTAAAGTCCCATCCTCCACCGCGTAGCCTTTGGTGCCTGGGGAGCGACCAACAACGCCCGAGGGCGGGGTCTCAAGCGCCTTTCACACAGCTCGCGGAAACAAATGCAAAGGGCCTCAGAGCAGGAAGGTAGGCGCAAGAGCCCTGAAAACCTGGAAAGGGAAAGACCTGGAAAAAAATAAGGTCTGAAATCTTCCCTGTTCCCCACCCCTCTTCCCTCATGCGCCCAAGCAGTATCCCTCACCTGCCCAGCACTTGCCCACGGCCATCGCTTTTGGGGAAGAGAGGGAACGAAGCATGAGCCATGATTGGAGTTGGGCCGTTTAGCCACGAGCGAACACATATCACACCCCAGTTCTGGGCCGGCCGCTATCGGTTCTGGCTGGGGCTATCTCTGAGTACCTGGGATTTCCCCTGACCTATGGCTTGCAAGCGGGGGAACCGAGGCCCCGGCACTCGGGCAAAGCCAAGCCCACCTGGTGCGATCCAATGGAAGGGTCCGGGTCACGCAGTCGGGGCTGGATCACTCTCACCAATCAACGTTTGCCTTCGGGGAGAAGTTGGGAAGCCCCTCCCCAGTTGGGCGAGTCGCCAAGCAAGTGAAGTCCAAGCAAGCAGAACCGGCCCCGATCCTTTTGCTGGCTTGGTCAATGCGCACTCGGAAAAAAAGAGATGGGAGGTTTCCTCAAGCCAAACGGCCCACTATGGTTCTTGTGTTGTCTCCAATAGACCGTCAGACAGCGCATGAAAACCAGCGGCCTAAGCTGTGATCCATACCTTTCTCCCTACAAAGGGAAAATGTGGAGAGGGCCCCTTTTATTGCGGGGTATGTTGCTTTTGGGTTGGGATGCTCCGAACCTCCTGGCCACCCCGGCTAACGGCAGCCAGGGGCGCTGGGTCGCAGAGCTCCCACTGCTTGTTCTTGTCGGTGGTGTAGCACCTCAGACGGGCGCAACTTTTGTTGGGCTGTTGCCTAAGACTAGGTCCTCCAGTAGACGGAGGGTACCCGATTTTTTCTCTGTGGTCTATTTTAGTAGGGGAACCCTCCCACCCAAAAAAGGGGAGAGAAAGGGCACTACTGGGGGACCTAGAAAGACGAGCGCAGATTTTGTTGGGCTTTTGCCTAAGACTTGCCCGAAACCAAAAGGCTGTCGGGCTAAGCTCCATTCAGAGGGCAACGGAGGAAACAAAGAAGCGGCCATGAGGGCCACTCATGTCCACCAAGCATATGTTGATCCGAGGATTCTGGCCCAAACTTGCCGCCAAAGGTACCAAATTCGTTGAAGGTGGGAAACAAAAAGACGCCAAGCAGTTGTCGTACCCCGTTTGTAGCTCGGAGCAACGAGCGGTGATACCATCAAGCTTCCGGCTTTGGGCTGTGTGAGTTGGCCTCTTCTTGGGTAGCTGGCCAAGAACCTTCGGTGCTTCCGATCGTTCAACCGACGAACGGGCCTACCCCTGAGCACGCGGAAACACAAGCTCATCGCTCCTGAAAAAACTGTCCGAATATTTTACGAGCAGGTTGGGCCATTCCACAGGAACCGGCGACATGGGATGCGCGTGTGTGTGTATGTGCGCATGTGGGTGTGTGCGCATGTGGGTGTGTGGGTGTGTGGGTCTTGCTTGGGCAGCAAAGCTCATGCATTCGGCGCTCGTGCCAAGGGCCATCAGGCGTGCAGCCTGTCTGCAACAAAACTCACCGGTCTACGGGCTTTATCCTGAGATCCGTGGATGGTGAATCATAGAACTGACAAACTACGTCTTAGTCGATTTTCCCCAAAGGCCGCGAAAGATCCACTTCCCGGCTATATCAAGTAAAGCCGGCTGGTACTGGTAGCAGAAAACCATGGACGCCGATTCGGAGAGCGGGACGCGGGACGCCAGAAGCCGAGCCACCAGATCGTCTGGGCCAAGCCGTCGGGGTTGCGACCTCAACACAAAGCAGCAGGGGCCGGGAGGTATAGATTTTAGTGGGTAACCTAAAGTGGGTCTTTAACTGCTACCGTAACCTAAAGTGGCTTGGAAGCCATTGGGGGGAAATTTGTGAAGGAAGGCCGCTTGTAGCCTCGACTGCAAGAAAAAGCTACTTGGGTGTGAATTTTAGTAGGGACCCTTCGGTGGACATCATTTATGTGGGGATTCATGTCCACCAACACTTGCGAGGTGGTACCCCTACCCTGTTGAATTTCATGCCCACTAAAAGAAGTTGGGGTGGCATATTTGCAGAGGGCATGGTCAACATGCCATTGCATACTCTCGTCCATTCCTAGGCACCTACAAATCGTCCCCTCAAGCCCAAAGACATTCACGTTTAACCCCGCATGGGGAAATGAACCAAGAGAATAAGGCGTACCTCTGCGCGCGCGTTTATGCAAAGCGCGAGGCCAAGTTCCTTGATCCAAAGATCCTAGGATTGAAGCTTGGTCCCATCAAAAAACAAAAGGAGCCGAAGCTTCTACCAATCATAGGTGTCCTTCTAGCAAAATAGATGGCCCTGATAGATTCTGAAGCAACAGGTCAACAAGGGCCGTCTAGTTGCTGCCAAAACCACCAAAAAGGACACCTCTGCTATGTTCCACCCTGGTTTCTTCATAGTCGGGGGGTCGAGCAACTGACTTCCTTGTCCCTTCCGAGCGGCAGTAGTTCTGCTGGAGCTCGGGGTACGCTGTGAGGTTGTAGCCTTCGCAGGCAAAGTGATATGTTGATCAACAGGTCTACGACCATTGGTTAGAAAACCACCAAAAGATGATATACCTCCTACTAAATGGGAAAAGTTACCAATTGTCATTTGGGGGCCGAAGGGAATATTGATCAACCCCCGCGCAATCCACAAATGGGAAATGAGCAATTTACAGCAAAGGGCCTTCATAGGTCTTCACTCGTCTCCCGCTCAAATCGGCGCGTTTATGTCAATTTGCCCGTCTACGACTTTGGTAACATGGGCAACATGGACGAGCCCTCGACTGGCCGCCTCTATGACAGCCAGCTGAAGCACAGCCCAGCGCTTCCGGAAGCGAAGTGCGAAACGTCGAAAGAATCGAGCGGTTTCAAGCGAACGAGGGCGCGGAAAAGCCCGACACGGAGCTTGGTGGCTGTTGAGATCTCTGCAAAAAGTGTTTTTTTTGTTTGTTTGTTTTTACTTTTTGTGGCTTCAATGGGAAGCCCCGTGATTTCAACCCAAAAGTTAAAGTCTAAAGATCCAACCCAATAGCAATCAAGCAAGAAGCACAGAGAAATAGGGCAGGGAGTGCAAGCAGAGAAGAAAGCGTGGGACACGATTTGTGGAGCGAAGACTCGTCGTCGTTGGCGGTGAACGGCGGACAGTCCAGGAATCGGTAAAGAATCCAAGTCAGCCAAGCTAAGGTGCGAGAGAGAACTCTGGCCAGCACTACTTTTCATGAGAAAAATGATACCATGTGTAAACAGATCTGGGTGAACTGCAAGAATTCACCATCCCAAAGGAACAGCTTCCTGCCAAACAAACCTTGGTCATGGATCGCAAACATTGGTCAACAGTACTTCTTAGTTGCCCTAAATGACATGAACATTTGAAAATCCCCTGGTTTGTGGGGAAACTCCCTCCCAAATATACCCTAGACAGTCAATGTTGGCCGGGCACAGTTCTGAACCCTTGGACACTCTGACCCGCCAATGGTGTCAATCAAGGGTCTGTCTGCCAGGCCAAAGTAGCTTGACAAAAACTGTCCATGCTTCACTGGGCTGCACAGAGCGTCTTTACAGGGAACCACCATCATGCCGCAACTACAGGGCACCTAAGCATCACCCTCGGCGGAAACCCATTTGAGTCTCAATCAAAATCCGGTACTAAAATGGTCTACCCAGAACCATGGAAAGAATTAAGAAGACGGCCGCAACTATTTCTGGCTGGGACTGCCCCTTACTAACCTTCATCTACCCAGGTTTTGATTGTGGCTCATTTGAATTGAAGCAGCTGGTGACTGTGATGTTCCCACACCACACCCTTACCCACTCTAAGCCGACCATGCACCCTGCAGGCGCGCAGCTGATGACGTGTGGGCTGTCTTTGTCCCAATGTTGGCACTGGTAGAGACTCCTCAGCTGAACCAGCGGCCGTGGCTGCCCAACAATGAACAAAGATTGAACCAATCCCTGGCTTCAACAATGATGGATTGAACTACTAGTGCCTAGCCAACCTCCTTTGAGGTCCCTTTAAACGGGCCCAAGGGGGTTGATTGTCTAGGTCCTCCAGTGGAGAGGTTAGAAGAAGGGTACCCTTTTTATTGTAGTCTATTTTAGTAGGGGAACCCTCCCCAACAAAATGGTAAAAGGGCACTACTGGGGGACCTAGCTGTTTAAGCAAATGTTGCCCAACCCCAAAGCAACGACTGGTTCAGGCAGTCTGTGGGTCCTGAAGCGGCGTGACTCTGATACGCGGCTATGGGGTGTGCTGGATATCGGGCGTCTGGCCCTGAGCATGCCTTCAATCTCCAATAGGGCGTGGCCCAAACATGTGTTATCAAGTGACTGACGGAGAACCATGCAAACAATGTGACTGGTAGTCTGCGCTTGACTTGGCTATGAATTTGATGGGGGAAGACCATGCATAGGTGGAAGGCGGGAACTAGGACCTTCCTTCTGTTAAGAAGATTCTATAGAATATGAGTTTGAATTGGGAATCCTTTGGTGAGCATCATTTGTATGGCCCGCGTCAACCATCGCCCCGCGAACCAGAAAAAGCGATTCGAAAAAGGCGAACCAAAGGGACACCACCCTTTCTTTGGGGCTTGGAAATCATCACAGGTGAGCTCGTTTTACCACCGAATATGTGAGTTCATGCTAACTTGTACCATTTGTGCATATTTCCCCCAGCTTTGGCCGGCATCCATCTGCCTAGTCGCATCGTTTTGGCATCTTTCCCCAAATTGCTACCTGACTTGCCCTTCTCCATTTTGCCCATTTGCGGGGCTTGCTTCTTTTAGGGCTGTCCTTAATTGAGGGTGCCCCAACACCACCCTCCTTCAAAGAGCCCGGCCGGAGAAAAAAAAAAAAAAAACGACCCCCCCCTGGGTCTCACCCGCGAACGGCACATCCCATGGGGGAGTCCCCGGAGCGAGGGGCCGCGTGTAGCGCTGGCCGCCCCGGTAGTCCTGGCCGTTGCCCGTCATGGCCTCGCTGAGCGTGGTGCCCGACCTCGAAGACGAGCGGCGGAGGGGCCGTGAGAGAAGCTGAGTGGACAGAGGAGGGCACAAAAACTGGAGGTGGTTCTCATATTTTTGGGCGCCGAAAAGGAGGGGTGCAGATTTTCTTGCGAGGCGGTTCTCATCTAAAAATTTTAGGTGGTTCTCATATTTGCGGGCGGTAAGTAATGAACACTCCGAGTTCTGAGAATTACTTTTAAGGGGGGATTGAAAAACAATTTAGTTGCCGGTTTCCATTTGGACCGGTACTCCGGTAATTCAAGAATGAGTTTGACTGGTTTCCCGTGAAACCACTATTTAGCGGTTTTTGTTTTGAGGATGTCTCTTTGATCGACCCAGCTGTTCAAACCGCAAACTGACACCATCCCAAAAGACCACTTTCCGACACCCCGCCCCAATTTATTCCTAATTTCTCAATGTGAACCACCCGTTTGGGTGGCGTCTTCAGGTCTCCCTGCTTTCAGCTGTTGTGCGGGGAAAAAACAAGCGAAAGGGTTTGCTAAGCCTCAAAAGCACACCCACAGTGTCCTGAGCTTTAAGGCCTCCCTGCAAACAAACCCGAAAACAAAAGTTCCAAGCCGCAACACAGCAACGCTGTAAGCCCTGAGGAGCCCTCCGTGCGTTCCGTGTTCCGTGCTCCTTCCAAAAACCACCGGGCAAGCTCCCCCAACTTTTTCGAGACATGGCTGTGGCTGTGGCTCAAATAGATGGACCAAAACGGCACGTTGAATGGAACCAAACACTCAAACCTTCGTAGCCCTGGCTGTTGAATTGCGAGCCACGCTGATTTTGGGCAGGAAACCGACCACCCTGCAGGAGTCCACAATCCTCATAACACCCACATGCTATGGGAACTGTTCGGGGCAAGCTTGGCTGAAAGAAGAAACTTTAAGATGCTTGGCTACACTGGTTCATATATGCTTTCATAGGTCATTGGGTGGACAAGCCCCAAAAAGCAAAGGGGTTCCCTTCGAAGATGTCAGGGTGCGGTTCTATGGTGACCTGAGCCCAGGGTAGACCTCCATTTCCCCAAAAGCAGAACCAACATCCGTTGCTCAAATCTACCCTTCGGGTCTGCTTAGAGCATGGCGCCATCACACTCTGGCTAGGAGTTTCATGACATCAAAAATGACATCAATCCCCATGCAAAATGAGGTCCACCAAAGGGTCCACAATTCCAGTCGCCCCGTGGCCCGTCGCTCGGTCCCCTGATCCGGGGTCCCGCGCACAGCGTCTTGCGCGGCCACCGCCACCGTGGTAACCACCTGCACGCCTCGAAAGGAGTGCCGGAAAGAACTTGACCCCCTGTGGACGGACCCACCGTGGAGGGATGAAACCCTATTGGAAAGATTGGGGAATAACCCTCGCATGGGGTTTATGAAGTGGTCCATCTGCCCGTTAGGCAGGCGGAGCGGCGGAGCACTCCACTTCTGCTAGGCCAAAATGACCCAGTGCTTCCAGGCAAGCCGTAGTGGATTTACCCAGCAGAAAACCAGCCATGATAAAATCTAGAGGTGAGAAGGTGAGACGCCCTCGTTGCCGCAGTAGCACCGGAACTTCAGCCATGCACAGAGTTCTTCAAGTTCTGGGAAAATGATGGATATCCGCCAAGGTTACATGATGGCTGCAGCCTCGTCAAAAAGCATCTGTCAAAAGAAAAAAAAACAAAAAACAACACCCCCCCAAAAAAAAAACTTCCAAGAAAACCCAGGTAACTGGATGGCTCCGGGTTACAAGCTTCCCCAAGTTAACCCCAAAACCCAGGGAAGACCAGCTAGCAACGACCCAAACAGTGCACCCCGCCGGCCTGTGCTGAAGCCCGTCTCGAGGATCCCAGCCCCGCTGCACTGGAAGGAGCGGATGTACATCATGAGGCCTATGGGGAGAAAAAAAAAAAGAAGAAAAAACACATAAACAAAATGTTCGTGTTGGGCCCCATTGACCCCTGATTTGGCTGTGGGTCAAAAATAGGTATCCCAAATGGAACTCTAGGTGGAAACATAGACCAAAACCTGCGGTCCCCAGGTGTTTTTTTTTAATTTTGACCCATACCCATTTATAAAGCCCCCCCCTTCATAAAGATGATGGTTCCTTTCAACCCATGACGCGCTACCCTGACGAGCGGCCACTTCCCTTGTCGCCTGAAGGCAGCGTGAGTTGTTCACCCCATGCGATCTGTGTTGCCTGGATGCGAAGGAGCTTTACTGTCAGGGAGCTTAGCTGCCCTCAGAGCCCCTGCCAAAAGTTGTTTTTCTTTAGCGGGTTGAATGGAAACTACCACTCAACCAACCAACAACAACTAAATGCTAAGGAACCCGGATGACTGTGATCCACCAAGGGAGGATGCTTGGTGCTCTTTGCGCGACACCTGTCGACTATGGAGGCTTCCTACAGCCGTATCGCCTTTCAGTGCCCAGGCTCCTGCTGTGCCAGATGCCCATGTTGGTGTCCGTTCTAAGTGTCTCCGGCTCTGGGTCAAACATAGGTGCCCCAAATGGACCCCTGGCAAATGGAAAGAAGGACGAAAACCTGCGGTCCCCTGCTGGTTTAATTTTGACCCATACCCACATGTTTTCCTCGGCCCGTGCACCAAAAGAACGGCTACGGCCTATTCTAAGTGAGGCGCGCCACTCATGCGGTGGCCTGCCCTTCGACGCGACTCACTTGACTCGGCCGAGGTATCACGGGCGTCACTGGATTTCCCCAAACTGACTGGGGGCTTTCCTTTCAAATCGCCACTTTTGGAGGCTCCCTTCAACGGCGCAAGGAATCCCTGTATGAACTTCTTTTTGAATGCTGAGTGCTGCCACGGCCCGGGTTTGCCCTGGGACTTCTAGCCCCAAAAGCACAGAATAAAACGAGTTCGCTCAGACACTCTGCGAGCAAAAAAGACATGTGCTTGGCCCTAGAAAAATGCATGGAACAAATTCCCCCACCCCTCCCGCGCACAAAGATTGGCTGATAGAAATGCGCAGCTTCCTACTAAAACAACGTTTTGGGCCGGTTTGAGACAAACCCTCTGTAGGTATGCAACAAAATACAAATCAATGGGAGATATTCACAGGGAGATAAACTTTAGAAGATAAGCCCAAATGGGAGATAACCCCCCCCCTTTTCGTGGGTGTTTTCCCAAAGGGTAGATACACACACCCCTCCCCCGCAGCTGCACCACCTCCCGCCCGTCCACCCCGAAACGCCCGACCGCCTCCGAAGGCAAAGCCCGCGGCTACCAGAAAGACGGAGGCCCAGACCACCTCTGAAAAAACAAAAATCGGGGCTCGGCCCAAAAGGAAACCAACCACCGGCGCGGAGAAAGAGCCCTCCCCTTCCGTTTGGCACATTTTCTGCCCCAACGACTGGAAAATGCGCAACCTCATTCCCAACCAACAGGAGTTGACCCTCTTGGGTCTTACCACGGTTTCCCCTGTGGCTTGCAAGGCACAAGCCGACTTCTCTGGGGGACGGCAACCCTTCTGGGGGACCCGACCTTTGTCTGGGACCAACACCTGGGCACCCGGCGACGCCCACCACGAAGCGCAGCAAGACCAGGAAGACCAAGCCGATGACGAAGGAGAAGAAGAGCACCACCTCCGCCCGTCAGAAGCCGCGGAGAAGCGGAGACCCCCAGGTTTCGGCGCACGGGACGCGTCCCGGGACCCCAAAAGCACGGGACAAGTTGAAGTATGATCCTGGCAAAGCTCCGGACAAGTCAACAAAGCAACTCTGGGAGTATTACATGGATTACAAGGCAAGGCCAGCGGTAGCATGTCTGCATGGCTTCCACATGCGGGCACTGATACTGCTGTGTTTCTTGGTGACCTTCCAGTGAAATGTCCTGCAATCTGCAGATCGCAATTTGACAGCAACATACTTTGCGTGAGCTGGATGCTGTAAACAGTCAGGAAAACCTTGGAGAAGAAAAAAAGAAAAAGAAAAAAGGAGCAAGGTCGTGCTTCTTCCATCAGGCATATGTATGTAATCTCACCCACGTTCACAAACAATATGCGTGTCTTCATCCTTCCTCAACAGCGCACGCTTGTTCTCAACGGCCCCGCCACCTGGCTAGTGCTTGGCGAATGCGCTCATTTGCTCATTGGCTTGTGGTAAAATGGCCATCTAGAATCCCTTCTCAGCTGCCCATCCGGGGTCCAGCCACCCAAAATACAATACTATGAGGAATCCCCATAAGTCAGGTTGCCCAAAGTACAGTGCCTGTCAAGGGGTCAAGGGTACTCTATGTGTGTTTCTCCCGCGGAACTTTAGCCCAAAACCCGGACAGCCGCACTGAGGCGGCCACGCAGAAGGAATCCATGGTGGACATCCTGGGCACTGACAAAGGGCCATGTCTCAAAATGATAAAATCGGGCTTCGAACATGTTCCACCCTGTGCCTCATCCTCGCATCACCTACAAAAGCCTTTGAAGAAACCTGGAACATGTTCATGCGGCGACGACTCGTCGAAGCCAGGTCGCATCTCGCCGAAGACGCCGGACTCAGTACGGGGCAAGGCGGCACAGCTGTCGCAAATGGGTGCGTGATGTTTTGAGAAATGGGTTTAGCTGCTCCTCTTTCGAGGATCAACAGAGAGCGGCACGCCATTCTCAAGAGCCACCAAGGGCAAACCCCCTGGTTTCCTTCAGGTTCCCAAGAAAAGCGCCATCCAAAAGCACTATCTCCCAACAGGAGAAATTCTAGACGAAGAAAACCTACATTCGGGAAGCCTTCAAGACATGCGTCAGCTGTAGATGCGCTGCTCTTCTGAATTCGGGCTCGGCGCTTCGGGTGATTTGAGTCGCCAGCTTGAACAAAGCCACCCGCAAACAAGCACCCAACTCATTCCATCCGCCGGTCCGTGCTAGCAAAGGGGGGTCAGAGCAGTTATCCACTCTCTTCAGGGCCATGAAGGACATTATCATTTGGAAGAGAAACCAAAAAGGAAAGCAGAAACCCAGAGGTCTCCTCAAACTCGCCTACAAAGTATAACTAAAATGACTATGCAAACCTTATGGGCGTTCTCGCTTTCTTCCCTCTTGTGCTTCTTGTTGGCATCTTCCATGGCTTCCGCCAAGCGGTTGGTGCCCGGTTTCACTGTCCACCCCCCCCCACCTTCATGGCAAACACACACACAAATAAATATATATATATATATATATATAGGTTTTGGGTGTCCAGACAATAGGGTCACTCCAAATAGTGGATTCTCCAGCGATTCTCCACCAAAGGTAGGAGTCCTTCTCTAACACTAGGACGCCCATGCCTGGCAGAAAGCCGAAATTACACCAACACCTGGGACGCATCGATCGTTTGGTTGGTTGGTTGGTTGGTTGGTTGGGTGGTTGGTTGGTTGGTTGGTTGGTTGGGTGGGTTGGTTGGTTGGTTGGTTGGTTGGTTGGTTGGTGGGTTGGGTGGGTGGGTGGGTGGGTGGGTGGGTTGGTTGGTTGGTTGGTTGGTTGGTTGGTTGGTTGGTTGGTTGGTTGGTTGGTTGGTTGGTTGGTGGTTGGTTGGTCGGTGGGTCGGTCGGTCGGGGTTGGTTTGGTTGGTTGGTTGGTTGGTTGGTTGGTTGGTCACTTTGACGAGTTTGGCGAAAAGCTAAACCCCTCCAGTGGCCTTGCGCTTCCCATTAAGCACCAGGGTTCCATCTCTTGATGCCCACCACGTGCCAAAGAGGGGGTTGACAGGTAAAACTGATGTTAGGACGCGGCCGCCCCAGACCTTCGGATTTGGGACTTGAATTTACACGGAACCCCCCTCAAGAAAGGAGAGGGGGAAAAAAAGCAAGTTACCTAGACACCAGGCCTTGCAACCGTTAGAACCCCGTAGCATATTCACACTGCTTGGGGAGAAGGAGAAAAACAAGGAAAAACAACGAGATAAACCAAAGGAGTTGCAACCGCTACCATTCCCAGGCGAACCTCACCATCAAAATCTGGCTTCAGAATGGTCCATCTATGGCTCGGACGGCCGAAATAACCTTCAGCTAACACCGTGCCATATGGGTCGGTCTTTTGGGTACCTCCTTTTTTGGTGGTATAAGGGAAACCAAGAAGGAAAACCGTTGCGCCATGTTGGGATAATCCTATTCCCCAAAAACGAGCACCCATCATACCCAGGCTTCGCCGGTGCCAAGCCGCACTGGAGTCCATAAGCCGCAGAGCTTGCTCGCTGGCACCTCTCGCGGGTTTACGTCTGACGAACGCGCGATCTGGCCAAAAGCCTTGATGTCGCAACTCCCTCCGCCCTCGATGAAGACCAAAGCGTCTGGCCAAAAACTCGATGTTCCCTCTGCCCTCGATGAAGACCAAAGAGCAACACTGAGAGTCGTTAAGTTCGGCCATGGTTGGCGGGAGGACCTCGAAATTCAGGCTGGCAGCCATGGAAGACAGGCCCGCTGTTTCGGCGGGGGGGGGCCCACGCGGGTCCACCAGTCTTCACGTGGGGGGGGGGGGGGGAACGTCTTGCGGAGTTGGTACCCCCCTTTTCTGGGGGTTTAAAGGGAAACCGAGAGGAAAACCACAATTTGGCGGGGTCTTTTTTGGAGTTGGCACCCCTCTTTTGATGGGTTTCAAGGGGGGGGGGGTCCGATTTTTGGGTGGCACTGCTGCGCGCCATTTCGGGGACTCCGAGTCCACCCAAAAAGCGGCGCGACGGCTCGATGACTCGCCTTGGAGGGCGGAGGACATGGCCTCCCCGAGCACCGCCGTGACGCCCGCGTCCACTTTGGGGATGCACTGGCTCAAGGAGCCCTGGCGACGCTCTTGGCTTTTTGGGTCCGCCCCATATGAAAATCATCCCAGTTGAAATTCATAGAGGGGGTGGGATCATTTTGGCCCCTCCGAAAGTGGTCTGAAAGTCATGGTACCTGGCGAATGCCAAATCATGAGGGGAAACAAGGACACCTCCTCACCCCAAGTTGGGCTCAAGGAGCCCTATCGACGGCCAAGAACGGCCGCGCCTTTGGGGGGGGGGGAATTCCGGTACCCGCGAACCAGGGGGCCCAAAAACGGAGGTGGCTCAAAAACATGTGGCCCCAAACGCAAACAACCACCGGGTAGGTGGAACCAAAGAATCCGCGCCTTCTTGGGTCCGGGAATGTGGTACCTAGAGGCCAAATGAGGGGATGCAAGGACACCTCCTCACCTCCAAGGTTTTCCACGAACATTTTAAGTTGGACAAAGGGTCTTCCGAAAAAATTAGGTTGGACCAGAAAATGGAATTGGACACCCTCGCAACTTTGATGGTCAGTTAGCTGGAGAAAAATCACAATGCCGCTTTTGAGGCGGTGCAATTTTGGACTGGAAGATGTGGCAAGAGGAGCTGCAAGGAGAATTCCCCGGCCATGACTTCAAGGGCGGAGACAGGTGACGGTGACAAAAATTGGCTCGGCGGTAGTCCTTCGTTCAGGGATGGGGTGGGGAGGTGGCAAGTACCCGCATAAGCTACTTATACCACTTAACTTAAGGGGTATAACCGAACAATCTTATATTGGTTGTAAGCATCCATATCTCCAACCTCACCTGGAAATGCCCAGTAGATGTTTGGGTGCCCCGCAAGGCATGCGCAACCCCACATGAAAGGTTCTGAAGAAACCTTCTGCGCAAAGGTGCGATAGAAGGGTTCTGGTAGGGATGCGGCACTCGGTGGGAATCAACGGCACTTGTGGCTCGCCCAGCCTTCAAGCTGAAGGCGGTAGCACAAACAAAGCAAGCATGGGTCTGAATTTTAATTCAGGACCCTTTGGTGGGCATCATTTAGGTGGGGATCCATGTCCACCAACCACTTTGGAGAGGGTTCCTCATTCAAATTCATAGCCATATCAAAGTACATCCGCCCGATCAGCTTCGCTCCCCAAAGGCTCTGGCCTCCAGGTCTACCAGTTTTCTCAGCTGGCTGAGAGGCCAAAGATCGGGTGTGAGAACCGAACCATGCCTAGTGCCCCTCTGCTTGCCTTACAGTCTCACTTCCGTAGATGTTTAAGCTGTGTTTGAATTGAATGGAGCGGCATTCTGTGGGAAATCGTGTACTGGTTCAGCGCCGTCGCAGAAAGACTCATTCGGAAGCTGCTTCTCATCAATGGTTCTTCATGGTCCTTGACCGCCGTCGATGGTCCCTGATAGCTACTCTCCTGGCTATGGCAGTTGTTACTGCATTACACTTTTGCAAATTATCACTATGTGGGTGCCTTTTTGGGGGGATCCAAAAATGCTTTGGTTCCTTTTAAAACCGCGTAAAAAGGGGTACCCGCAAGAAAGGAACCACACCCATTTCAGCGCTTTGACTCTTGCTATGGCTCAAAGGTCACCTAAGCTGCTACGGCTCCCATTCGTGTCGCTCTGCATGGGAAGAGCCGCCATCGGTCATTTGAGAGGACTTCAGATTGAATTTCCGCCTGCCCTCCTTTTGCAAACCAACCGTATATGGGTGTGTCTCCATTTAGTGGACCCCAAAATATGGTGGGTGTCCTTTGGTGTAACTTTCAAAAGCACCAAAAACGGGGGGTGGCTTTAAATTTGAGTTTTTTGGCGGCCTTGGGCCCTCGGTTGGGTATCTTCCGCTGGGCGGGCGCAAGAGAAGTTTGACGCTTCGGACCCCTTTTGGTTGGCACCCCCAACAAAAAACAAAAGGAAGCCGTTGCCAAAAGAGAAACGGACCTGTCCAGGGCTGTGGGAAATGACCGCTTCTGTGATACAACAAAAAGGGCCTCCCAAAGACTAGCCCCCCATACAAAGAGAGGACTTGCTTGTATCACAGAAGTGGGGATATCCCACAACCCAGGACCTGCCTCTGACAAACCCAGCAAAAACCGGGGTCCTTTTTGCCACCTTTTGTGAGGAAATTGGCGACCCCCTGAACAAGGAATCCTTCACTACGAAGGGGGGTCGAAAAATTGTTCCACCAAAGGTGGCACAAAGACCCCGCACAAGGGGATTTGAACCCAGGGCAGGTTTCCCTTGAGGAGTCCCCTGTTCCTTCCTCTCCAACGGAACCGCCACTGCAGCCAGCCTCTGCAAAGGCCACACCAGGGAAGGGGATGCAGTAGCGCTGGTGGTAGGGACATACCTGAGACACTCAACGGGCCGCGAACCCGAACCTGATTCCATGGGGCGCGTAAGGGGCAAGCATGAAACCCGGCCCTCTTGGGGAAAAAATGTGGGCCTTACAATTGCAACGTCCAGAAAGTGGAGAAGTGAGAAGAGCAAAAAAGGAGAATTACAGTGGGCTTGCCCGGCTCGCACCTCCTCCGGAAGTGCCGTGAAGGTGAAATCGTTGTTGATGGTGTCCTGACGCCGTGAGAAATCGAAGCGGAGATGAAAAAACAGGAACTCTGCAGCACATGTGTTTTTGTTTTTTAAGGAATCGGACCCGCCAAAAGTCCGTTAAGACCCATCAAAAGGAAGGGTACCAAACTCCAACAAAAAGACGAGCCACTCACCTGTGGGATTCCAATCTCCAGACGTGGACCCTTTGGCTTTTCTCTAAGTGGCAACCTTCTGGGGCCCGATTTTTTTCTCGGTTGCACAAGTGGAAAAAACGAGAGAAGAGGACTCAAAACTCCCGTTTCACATGTCTGTGGCAACCCAAACCTATAGTTGTCCATGCCCAGTGACCCTATGAGAAGAAAGGGAACCGCAGCTTTTTGGCCAATCCCGGATCCACGGAACCAACCCAGGATCTCACCGGGCCGAAGAATGCTTGAAACCTCACCGGGCTGCTCAAGAAACACAAGTCCCCTACCAACCAAACAGGGGTCTCCCATGGGTTTGCCTCTTTCTTTGACGGCACCCTTTTTGGGTTGGTTTTAAAGGAGAACGAAGGACATCCACTAGGTCCTCCAGATTTGAGAGGTCAGAATAAGAGTACCCCTTTTTCTTGAATCGTCTATTTTAGTAGGCGAACCCTCCCCACCAAAAAAGAAAGTTGGTAAAAGTTGGCACCAATTGCTGGGGGGAGCTAGCCACATGCCTCTAGAAATTCCTAGAAACACCTAAACAAAACCTAGTCCACCAATTGCTGGGGGACCTGGTCACCCAGTCCACCAACTTGGAGGGTCCCTTGTTTTGAGACAACCCACAAGTCGGGACCCCAAAAAGGCTCCTTGATGTCCGCTGGAATGCCCGCGTTGCTGGCCAGCACGTCCCACGCGAACTTCCAGGGCTCTGTTGGGGTCGGGGAGTACACGTAGCTGCGGGCGCCTGTCGGAATCTGAAGGAGGAGGCCCCTTTCTTGTTTGGGTTTCTTCTTCTTCTTCTTCTTTTTCTTTTTTTTTTTGGGGGGGGGTTGGTTTAAAAGCAAAGGGATTGTGTGTTTATTGTTTTTTTTTGTCTTTTTTTTTTGGGGGGGGGTGGTTTAAAAGCAAAGGGATTGTGATGTGTGTTTTTGCTTTTTTGTTTTTTTTTTGGGGGGGGAAGTTGGTTTAAAAGCAAAGGGACACTGGTTGAAAAAGAATCAAGCGAAAGAAACGCTAGATCGCAAAAGGGAAGAGTCCCCGCCAGAATGGCAACGTGCACGTTTCCCAAGACATGGGTAAGTGCCAAAGCTGAATGACCAATACAAACGGCAAGTTTCATGCGGCTGTCCGTCTCAAAAAGAGCTCCCAGTTTTGATCCATACCTTCAAATGACGCGAAAAGGAAACAAACGGATAAGGGAGGCCCGGATGATAAGTCATCACTGGTCTGGTGCAACTGCGGGAACCCAGGAGTACCGCGTTTCAGTCTTACCACGGTAGGGTCGACCTAACACCAAACAGCCCAAAAATAGAGGCAGGACACTTTTGTCCTGACAAATGCGGATGCCTTGCTTCATATGGATGGTGACGAATCTGTCTCGCACCGGGGGCGCCCATCCGGCATGAAACATCCACGCAGCATGCGATTCCAGCCTGCCCATACTTTGCCAAGCAAGTTTGCCAAGCATGTTTCCAGCGTGAGAACAGGACACTTCTATTGTGGACAGAAGGACAAATACCTAAAACACACACACATCCACTTCACTTCTAGGTTCTTCACTTGTTTGAGGATTCTAAGCACATCTGCTTCAAAGAAAGTGTTCACTTCAAGCCCAAAATGACTCTATCGGTGCAAACTTCAGAGCCCCACACTTGCACGCGGAAAAGGGTCGCCCCCGCCGAATTGGCTTTTAAGGTTTCCCGTCAAAAAGACAGCCCAAAAGTTTTGTTTTTTTTTAAAGGTAAAAAAAAAAAAAAAACGCCATGGGTGATCCACGCGTGTCAGTTGACTTTGTCGTTGCTTTCTTCTTTGGACTTCCAATCGTGTACAGTGTCATGGAACTGACAAAGAACGCCCTGGTAGAGGAATCTTTGAAGAGTGAAGAAGGGACCTCAAATGGGTGTGTCTTGTTTTGGGGGGGGTCCTTTTCTGGGATAGAAGAAAGCACTATTTTGCGGGAGGGGTCCTTCACACCATCCGGAAAAGGGCTATGCTCCGGATCGATCCCGTCCTGAGGTGGTGGTGTTTACGGTGGGGGCCGCACAGGAGGTCTGGTTCAAGCACGTTGCCACCATAAACTTGGTCATCTCCTTGGCTGGGCCCCGGGTGCCTTACCTCACTGCCCAAAAGCTCAAACCAAACGCAGGGAGAAGGCCAAAAATGATGAATCAGCGCCAGCCAGAGAAAGCGGAATCCGGCGAGGGAACAGGCATTGGTGATCGATGCAAGAAGAGCAACGACTTGCCAACCACAAGTCACTCACTGCAGAGGCTTGTAGGCTGCCTTACTGCCATTGCTTGCTCCCTGTTGGGTTTGCTGGGGCTCTAGCATCCAAGACGCGCTGGCGTTCGCGCTGCCGGTCACCGAGGCCAGTTGAATTGGACCGGGGATGCAAGACCAAAACAATCAGGGCACTAATGAAAGAAAACCTGATTGTAAATGTCTGTATTGATCATGTTCACTTGGATCAAGAAAGTTCTTGATTACACATATACTATACCTTTTGCACAGTTTGACAAAACAATCAAGGCAATTAAACCCAACTGTATGCTTTGCAATAACTCCAAAAGGAAACACAAGGAGATCCGCAAGAGACTTCATCTGGTGAGCTCGGGCAAGCTCGCCATAAAGACAGATGTACTCGGAGCCATCCCCACGGGAACGCTCAAAACGAACGACAAGGTGTGCTGAGACTGCGCGGGGTGCGGCGGGGGGGGGGGGGGATGGGTGGTCCAACACCTCAATCAAGCATCTCTCTGGAAGAGGTATGGGTGGTCCATCACCTGTTGCTTGATTGCGGTGTTGGACAACTGTGGATCACTGGTCCAACACCTCAGGTCATTTCATCGGAATCTGCCTCCCTGACGCATCACCTGACCATCCGAATAGCGGACGCAGCTGGCGGGCCTTCTGGTGCCGATCCTGCTTATGCTTGATGAACCGACGGACCGGAGGACAGTCCGATGGATTTGTGTTTTTTTTGTGGCGGTGTTGGATTCCTAAGCAAACAGTAGGCCATTCACATTCCCAGATGCTATTCTTCCCCACCAAAACAGAAAGCCGCTTGGACTGCCAGACTGTCCTTTTGCCAGCTTGCCATGGCAACAGGAATCCTCCACCTTGATTGGCAGGCTCCAACAGGAATCCTCCACGTTGTTGTTCTTCTTTTTTTTGGGGAGGGTCCACCAAACGTGGACAAGGTGCCTGATGAGCCGCATGTTGGGAAAAACAAATGGACGTCTAAGAAGTCAAAGGTCACCTCGCCCATCCCGAGTACTCTCCAACCCCCAATTAACATGGAACCGTTCGGGGGGGGGGGTCAGGTTCTGTGTGAAAAGGGCGGGAGGGTAGCTATTCACACTACCTTCCCTTCCACTAACGGCGCACCTCACAGAAGGTTCCTTTAAGAGGAAAACTGATCTTCCAGGCACCTTCCCACAGCACCGTTTGTTGGAGGAAGAGTAATCCCAAACTGGATGCAAAATCACACGTTTTGCCTCACAAGCACCAAGCCCGCATCCAGTGCCGACGCCGCTGGCCTCCTCCCTATCCCTGCAAAAGGCCAAAAGCCAAATCGAACGGGCGTCTACGAGTGAACCCCCTGTCCAAGCCCAGAAGAGCGATGTTTGCAAACAGAAGGATCGAATAAACAAAGTGCAGAGTTTGGCCCGTGGAGCTGAGAAACATGGTCCGCCGAGCGGACACCGAACTTCGAAAATGGAAAAGAACGATAAGTGTGGAACAGATCGATGCGTGTGGTGTGTCATCTGCTAAGGGAATAGAACTACGTTTTTATAGGGCACTGAACAGAATGGGTACAAAAAGAGGTTCCGCGCGCGCTTGCGTGCGCGTTGCACGTTGCACACAGCCCATCTTGCGCGCGCGAGTTCGGCTGCGACTTTCCTCGGCCGGGGGTCTCCGAAGACGTCCTCCGCGCTGAAGGACATCGCGTTGGCGCTGCCGCTGCTGAAGAGCGTCGCCGCCTTCGTGGGGTCCGTGAACTCCGACATCCTGCGCCAGGATGTCGCGAGCGTGGGGTGGAGGGGATGGAGGGAAGTGCAAGGGAAAACCCGAGGAAAACCTTGAAAAAAGCCCGGGAAAACCAAGAAATCGCCGGAAAAGCGCCAATTTAAAGAAAGAAAAAAAACTGGGAGACCCCAACGAATGCCAGTAGAAACCCTGGGTAAATTTAAAGAAAACCAGGAACACAGAAACGAAGCATGTGGCCTGGTGGCTATTGCCACTCTGCGCAAGCAGCGCAAAACTTGTTGCCTTGGGAGGAATTGTCAACCAAGATGCTTCAGCCAAAGAGCTGTCAAGATGGGACGTGTCCAGTCCACCCAAAGAAAACCCGACGAACTTTAAACCTGGAATAGGTTGCAAAGGGAAGCAGTCCAGACTCAGATTTGACCTGTCTGAAGGGTTAGCTTGGTCAAATTTCAGAATTCACAACGCAAGTCATCTACATGCTTCCTCAATTTGCGGGCCCGGGGGGGGGGGGGGCTCCACCAAAAAAACTAGAGCAGAAGAGTTTCTAGGATGCATTTCTGTTACGAACCGAGGATGGGTACCAACTGGTGCCATGGCAAGGTAGGAGGCTATCCTTCCCCAGCAAAACTGGAACCAAACCCTTCAGGACAAAACCCCTTGAATCAACTTCTTTTACCTCTACCTTTGGGCTGCAACCACCCTCCTTCCCAACACCCTCCCTCCCAACCTGCATGCATTTCTCCAAACTCGGCCAAAGAAAAGAACCGCCTCCGCGCCTGAACAAAAGTGAGCCAAGCAGCATGGGGCGCCAGTTGGTGGAAACCGAAGGGTGCGACCCTCTCATCCCATCCCTCCCGCCCGCGAGGAAAAGGTCCTGGTGCCGATGGCGCTGGACAAAGACGCGCCGTCCTTGCGAGTCGTTTCGCTCCGCCAGGGGGGCGAATGAGCAGATCGGGAAAAAATCGAATCGACGGGTCCAAGCTCTTGTTTCCGGGCTTGGGCCAGGAGGCAAACCGTTTTTGGCCGGTGGCTACGCTTTGAGGAAAATTGGAAGAATCCAAAAGGCAAAAGGGTGACAAGAAAAGCCTGAAACCATCCAAAATGGGAGCCTTCCCTCTGAAACTGTCCAAGATGGGCTATCACAAAGGCATGTCATCAAGCAGCCTTTCTCTGCGAAACCATGCAAAACGGGCATCTTGTGTGATACCAAAGTGGTTGATTTCCCACCCAGCTTTCCACCATCGAAAGGGGCTGCCCTCTGCAACAAGTGAATAACCTTTTGTGGCTCCAATTCGGAAAATCCACAAAGGTTCAGCCAAAAAGCTAGAGTGCGAAGACTCCTTAATTATCCAATGGCCACAAAGTCACCCCCTCCCCCCCCACAAAGTCTCTCATCCCTCGCCCGATCGCCCGATTCCCCCCAACGAACCCTCGCCAAGGCCGTCCTGCAGGTCTTCGAGGCCCAGGTTGCTCTCGCAGTTGGCGCAGGGCATCTTGCAGCAGGCGCAGCGGTACTCGTCCATCTGCGCCTCGCACTCGGCCCATCGCCCCCCCCGGTCAGGCGGCGCCATATCCCATGGCCACCGGCGCCAACCAAATTGGAGCAGCCGGGGGCGGTCGCCCCCCTTGACCGGAGCCATAAACAGGTCCAGAACCACGCTTCAAGAATGTTCCGAAGCCGGATTTGTCCGCCCGCGCTTCAGCCCAGGCCCACAAAAAACATCCCGGAAGCCAGGAACAGGGTGCCGCAGCAGAACCCCCCATAACAAGGCCCCTTGAACAGTTTGTGGCATTCCAAGAGTCGAGCCTGCGCAAACAATTGCCGGGCTGCCAATATACAGCACCCGGTAACCACGCATTTCGACCATTGGCCTGAATAGAAGGAGAACCATTTGGAATCGAAACTATGGACCAGAGAAAGAAACGAAAAGGTCAAAAGAGATGTGGAGTTCGAGGGAACTCCGATTGGGGGGCTGTTGTTGTTGCCGACATCCTCAAGATCCGACCCTCTAATAGTGGTTCAACGGGAAACCACCCCCAAAGACATTGTGAGAACGCCAAGGGGCCCTGGTGTGTGGCTTTTGAAAAGGGGCTTCCCAAAAGTTGGTGCACCTATCTTACTCAGATGCCCAGTGGCCGTGGGAAAAAAAGGTTGGTTGGTTGGGTTGGGGGAAACCTTCCCAAAAAAGAGAGAGAAGAAAAAAAAACACGCGCCACCGGGCGACAGAGTTTAGGTGTGGCCTTCAAGCCACACCACGAAGCCGGCCACTGTGCTAAGTCACAATCAACATCTGAAACTAAGCCATTGGTGAGGAGATCAGATGGGCAGAATGTCGGCGCCTCTTGGAACTGTCCCTCTTCACTTACCCGACTCGGTTTTGACCGCGTGAGCTTCCCCTTTGACTCGAACGGTGTCCGGGGCGCGGTAGTCATCACACCCGACAGGGCATTCTCGGCCTGCACGTGATTGCGATTCGGCTGCCAGTCGACCACAAGACGAGATGACAAGGGGCTTGAGGGTGTCTCAAAATGGGAAATCCTTCTAGCGGGGTTGCGTGCTCGCCAGGCCTTCCCAAAACGAATCGGCGGATCTGATGAGAATTGTCAGGTCAACAGCCTGTCCTTGTGGAACATGATCTGTTCGGTGCCAGAATGGGACTCCCATCCTGACTAGTGCTTCACTTAATTCCCTTCGCACGGAGACGACAGATATGGTATGTGTGTGTGTGTGCGTGTTTAAGTGTACCCAGTTGCATAGTTTGAGGCAAACCTAAAGAAACACGGAAAAAAGCCCACGTTGTGACGGGCACATTGCCCTCTCTCCAATGACAGTGGACGTTTTGGGGCCTGGACCCAAGAAAAACGTGGCAACCCAAGAAAACCAGAGGAAACTGATCGATGCTCGCGTCCTGAACCAGGCGACCCCAAGCTATCAGATTCCTGCGGTTCTCCTTCCAGGTGATGACCCTTCGGGCATCGGACAATCCCGAACATGTATTTCCACCAGGCATTTGCCGAAAGGTCCCCGAATCATTCGGGTCGGTTTCCCAGAAGGTGGGGCCCAAGCGCT